GGAGAGGGAGGGTGGGTGGATGAGAGAGGGGGTGGGTGGAGAGGGAGGGTGGGTGGGGAGGTGGGTGGATGAGGAGAGGGGAGAGGGAGGGTGGGTGGATGAGAGGGAGAGGGAGGGTGGGTTAGAGGGAGAGGGAGGGTGAGAGAGAGGGTGGGTGGATGAGAGAGAGGGTGGGCGAGACAGAGAGAGATTTACAGATCAAGGTTAGTGTTAATGTAAATCATGTGCACTATGAGAGACAGATTTGGGTGTATGGTGTAATAATTCACGTTTGTAAAAAATCGGTTTCTTTCATTTATTTACAAATAAAATATTTACAGTGTCTGTGACGTTTACAGACGTCCGGCTCTTCCCCATCGTAAAAACCGTGAGCCTGATTTACAAGCAACGTTATGGGTGAGTGTAAATTATATATTTAACACTTTGTAAATTAGTAGGTGTTAGTGATGTTAATGGATCATCTAAACTTCATCATTGTAAAAAAAATCCTAGATTTACTAGAGACAAAATTTCTGTTTTAAAAAGAACATAATTTCTTCATAATTTACAAGAGAAAATATTAAATTTATATGTATCTATATTTTACCAACTGTGTATATATAAGTCACATGTAAGCATATTTTTGTTTACAGTTTACAATCTTCGATTTACATGTGAGAATCTTCAGGCATTTTACGATTTTCTTCAGTTGAATTATTTACCGCCCCCCACCTGACTATTTCACACAAGACTCCTATAGTCACAACCATTTTTCATATATCTACCCTCTCTATTTACTATCTATCTCTATCTGTCTGTCTGTCTGTCTGTCTGTCTGTCTGTCTGTCTCGGAACCTCAGTTACCCAGAGAGAATAGAACGCCTACAACTTTGTTTTTTGTTTACAGGGATTAGCCCTCCCGGGCACAGGTCACTGACCCACATCGGGGCCTCGGGGGCGCAAATATAATAATAATAATAATAATAATAATAATAATAATAATAATAATAATAATAATAATAATAATAATAATAATAATAATAATAATAATGATAATTCATAATAAAAATGCAATATTAAAAATAATAATAAAATAATAATGATAATAATAATAATAACGAAACTGTAATAATAATAATAATAATAATAATAATAATAATAATAATAATAATAATAATAATAATAATAATAATAATAATAAAAGAACCATAACGAAATAGAAAAATTAAAAAAAAGATCAATAGTGAGAAACGATATATGTATGTTGTGTTGTCAATAGTAAAAGAAGCAATTGAGACCCTGCAATTGTGTGTAAATGAGGCAGAAAGTCAGATCATCAACCTGGGACTTGGTCACAATTTTTGTGATGCCATATGGCAGCAGAGTCTACCCTGAGACAACACATTATGCTTCCAATATCTTCCCAGACGGTAGTACCTCCCTGTTTGGTAGCTGCCTAAACCTTACTACCCAGCTTATACTACAGATGGGCGAGGGGCGACCTAATCAAAGTGTATAAACATCTCAGAGGGCACTACTCGGTCGATTGTATATACCAGGAGCTGGCGGAGGTCCGCCCCACAAGGGGTCACAGCTCAAGGTTGAAGAAACCACAAGCCCAGAAAACTGTGAGGGGTAACTTTTTCGGAGTGAGTGTTGTGAACTGTTGGAACAATCTGTCGGAGAGTGTTGTGACAGCATCGAGTGTGAGCTGTTTCAAGACCAGACTTTACCAACACTGGAGCAGTTTCAGATATATTCAGGAGCCAGTGCATGCCCAGTACTTGCCAACAGAGACGTGACCGACCGCCCAAGCGGCTAACGAGCCGATCAGTGGCGAAGAGGATAAAAGTAAAAGTATATTTACCAATATATCAGTGAGTTCTGTGTACGTCTGCCTCTCTCTCTATGTCCGTCATTTATCTGTCTATCTTTAGGTCTGTCTCACTGTTTGACCTTGTAAAATCGAGCCATTGTTTGTTGTTTAAATGGGATCCAATCGTAATAGTAGTCCCTTGGTTGATTGGTCCCAAAGTCCTCAATGGAATCGTTTTCATAGGTTATATGAAATTCCTAATCCCTAATTCTCTCTTGGTCATATTATCTGTCCAACTGCATCAGCTGACATATACACAGCATCACGATAATGTCTCTAGTGTCCATGCAACTGAAGACAGCCTACCATAAGATCGGTGTCACCCAGGTTAGACGAGTTTGTCCCGAAAGGCTTTCTGTTTTCTCTGATTTACATCATGGGTTGACGCTTTCTACGGGTATCTCCTCTATTTTATCAAAAGAAAATCGGTCACTATAGGAGGCAGCAACAATAAGGACGAAGAAGATAAAAGACAACAAAATATAGTGTTGATTGGTGGATGTCTTGTCTGCTGGTATTATTTATTTTGTTCAGTGAGGAGAAGAGTCGCCACCTTATTAGGCGGACATATTATTTTGGCTGGATTTTTACTTATATTTTTGTTTCAATGTATAATTTACACTTCCTCTACTGGAGAAAGTAAAGTTGGATAAAAACAACTTGTAGAGAAGTAAACGATAATAAACTGATAATATTAAAGAAAGAATGAACAAGAATATGGGATGATTTACCTCTTACTGGGGGTGCGGATACAGTACAGTGAACACTAACACAGTTGACCGGCACTGTACTCGACCACCTTCACTTTCCAAACTATCAAGTGAAGTCATATCACATCTAGGTGGGCCGGGGGAGCCTCGGGCACAACCAATCAACCATTAGTGGGAACTCGACTTGCTCTTTTAACCACATTTTAGTTTTTAAAAAGTCTTTTGGTGTTAATATGTTGTTCCGAACCCGTATCACCGCTTACCTAGCTTCCACCACTGGTTACCAGCGGCCAGAGTCGTACATACAGAAGCAGTAGATATATCACAAGTGTCGTCGAATTACCACTGGCTGTCCCACCAGTCTCCGGTAATTTTCCGACGATCGGTATATACAGATAAAACAACAGGCAGGTAGAGTTACACCAGGTCACAGAAACACACTGGTGCACTGTAGTCGTCTTTAATAATCACTAAGTCTTCACAAAATTGTTCACTAGGTAATGTCTTTATCACTGGACTTCTCACTTCGAATATATAGTCAGTACACTACCAGTGTACAATTCCTCAGTCTTTTCACTTTATATCGCTCAAAACAATTCCACAATACTTAACAACAACTATCTTTAGTTGTCACTAGGCTTGTACTTCACACTGTGAGCAAGAACGGGCGACTACTTCACCAGACGCCTGGTGTTATATACTTCTCGTCAGCCGCCTCGCACCACCAGGCGTCACACATGGACCTTTTTTACTTTTTACTTTTATCCTCTTCGCCTCTGATCGGCTTGTTAGCCGCTTGGGCGATCGGTCACGTCTCTGATTACTTTTCCTTTTCATTTATCTTCTTCACCAAAAGATCGGCTCGCTAGGCGCCCGGGCGATCGGTCACGTCTCTGTCACGCACTGTTGGCAAATACTGGGCATGCACCGGCTCCTGAATGTACCTGAACCCGCTCCAGTGTTGGTCAAGTCTTCTCTTGAAAGAGCTCACACTCGGTGCCGTCACAACACTCTCTGGTAGATTGTTCCAGAGTTTACAACCCTCACTCCGAAAAAGTTTGCCCTCACAGTTTTCTGGACTTGCGGCTTCTTCAATCTTGAGCTGTGACCCCTTGTGGGGCGAGCGTCCGCCAGCTCCAAGTAAGGACACTCAACTGAGTACTGCCCCCTGAGATGCTTATACACCTCAACTAGGTCCCCCCTTGCCTGTCTGTAGTATAAGTTAGGCAAGTTCAGGCGCTCCAATCTCTCAGGGTAGCTGAGGTGCCGAAGTGCAGGCACCAGTCTGGTGGCACTGCTTTGAACATTTTTATCGAGATCGAGACACGCCTAGAGAGTTTAGAATGATTGAGGCTTACAATACGTAAGAAAATCATAACAAAAATTGTGCAATATATTCTAGAAAATTCTTATATAGGTAATACACCAATATATACAAGAAAATCTCCCCAAACTTGCCAAAACAACTGCTGCTTGGAATAGAAAATAATCAGAACACCTAGTTCACAAAAATTATAATACTAAATTATGCCTCGGCATAACAATATTTAGCGACAGTAAATAGGTCTACATAATACACAGTTGGTAGTATGAGACCAGAGACTTATAATATTGTCAGAGGTTAATGTAAACAACAGTTGTTAACAAACATCATAATTATGTGCACAGTGACAACGCTGCTGAACTCTTGGAACAATCTACCATAAAGTGTTGTGACGGCACCGAGTGTGAGCTCTTTCAAGACGAGACTTGACCAATACTGGAGCGGGTTAAGGTACATTCAGGAGGTGGTGTATGCCCAGCACTTGCCAACAGTGCGTAAGAGGGACGTGACCGATCGCCCAAGCGGCTGGCGAGCCGATCGGTGGTGAAGAGGATACAAGTAATACCTAACCTACAATACTACCAACAACTATTAATTGTACAATAACATTAAAAGAATCAATTAAATCATCGTTTAATGAAGTAAAGTTAAGAGTGACGTCGCTGACCCTGCCAAGGTGTGGAGGTGAAAGACTGTTTTACTGAGTCTCAACCACGTGTTGGAGGTTCACCCTCGTCTTGTTCAGTCCCGTGTTGAAGGTTCACCCTCGTCTTGTTCAGTCCCGTGTTGAAGGTTCACCCCTCGTCTTGTTCAGTCCCGTGTTGAAGGTTCACCCTCGTCTTGTTCAGTCCCGTGTTGAAGGTTCACCCTCGTCTTGTTCAGTCCCGTGTTGAAGGTTCACCCCTCGTCTTGTTCAGTCCCGTGTTGAAGGTTCACCCTCGTCTTGTTCAGTCCCGTGTGTCTGTCGGTCAAATATCTGCTTCAGTAAGGCAACATAAGAACTCTGTATAAACAATATAGTGTTAAGTATTGTCTGTATGTCCGTCAGGTGCTTCTCTTGGTGCCTCACGAGAGCTTCCCGGTGACGTAACTTATCGTCACCTCTTGAGTGATTCATCATTTCTTGTTGTAACTTTATGTAGTGACGAACCTTGAGGAGCTCCAGTTGTAATGAGTGATGTTGGTTGCTTAACCTTTCACCAATCAAATGTCGTGCAAACTTTCTCACATAATCACGACCTTGTAAGTGTTGTTGTTCTTGCTTCGGCAGTTGCGATAACAATTGATTTTCAATTTCCCTAAACTTTTCATCTTCTTCTTCTGATAAACTCATAATAATTCTCTCCGTCTCTGGACGCTGCTGTTTATACTTACTTAACACATCATTAATTCTACAACTCAACAAATTATCGGTAATTATAAATAACTCCATAACAGGTGATAACTGAGTCATAATTTCATCATGAGTTTTAAGAGTTTCGTTCCACCGTGATAACCAACCTTGTCCCATCTCGGCCATAGTGTTGAGCAACTGGTGATTCTCACTACAAACTTTCTCTCTGTCAACTAATTTTTGTGCGTTTTTATTACGTGTATTATCGAGTTTGTTGCTCTTATATTCTGCTTCTAAGAGCTCTTGTTTATCTCGTAATATCTTTCTTTTATCCCTATCATTTGCTGAAGACTTCAACTCTTGTATCTCTTTTTCCAACTCTAAAATCTTCGGTGTTTTCGACTCATTATTTTCACTCAACTTTTCATCTGGATTATCTTTCATCTCGCTCATCTCGGCTTCGTCTTTAAGACTCACCTCCGAGGTAAATGATTCATGTTTTGAGTTTACACTTTGTAGATCATCACTAAAATCTTTGAGTAACTGTGAGTGACTGTTTATGTACGTCAGGAAACTGTCTGAAGGTGACTGTTGAAGTAACAGGTTTTCTTCTTCATCCTTAGAATATTCAACACAAGACTCAGGTTTTCGCTGGTCTTGGTGTTCTTCTGTCGTCTTTTGACCGACGTTTTGTGGGTAGTTGTGTTTCACGTAGACAACACCCAATATGTTTATGGTGACCGAGACCATCAGTAGTAAGAGGCAAGTTACAAACCCACCGAGATAACTGGTCACTGGCTCACACTCACTGGACCTTGTAGGACACTGTGGTGTTGGACGACTCGTGGCAGCAACACTCTCCACAGCTTTCACCCTCAAGCTACCAAAGAAGTGTTCTAGACTGAGGTGAGATCCTGGAAACATGATGACACTCTCCTCTGCTACTCTGACTATAGAAGAGTTTCTCATCACCAAGTTTCCTCCGTCTATTATCACAGCCTTAGAAGCAACATCGTCAACTTTTGTATTCTGTAGAAGAAGCTCTGAGCCATCAGCTACGTGAAGGCTCTGGAGAGTGTCTATGTGAGTTGAGAAGAAGATAACAGAGGTCAGGGGGCTGGAAATGTCGAGGACTTTGATGATGGAGTTGATGACGTTGAGTTGCGTGATGTTGACGGTGGTGTCCAGCGAGGTGATGTTGACGTCCTCCAGGTGAACGTGACCCACCCGGCCGGGCAGTCTGTTCAAGGTTGAGTTTGTGGCTGAGAGTGTAAGGTGACGGTGACAGGGGTGGTCCTTGCCCTTCACCACCACCACGTCGGCCACATTCTTCAACATAACACTGACACACACAGACTCACTCAGCTGTAGCTTCACCGCGTTGTTCACAAACACCATCTGCACTGTATCGTTCACCTGCACCATATTCACCATCTGTGGGAGAGTTATAGTGAATGATCATCATAAGACTCACCATGTATTCAGGGTAACACAAGCCATTAATTGTTTACTTCTGTTTCTTATTGTTTGGTCTTAACTCATAAGGAAACGTGTTCTAGTCTCCGCCATCTGTTTATATTTACTGTCACTTGATCTTAATGTTAATTGATAACGAACAAATCAAGAATTTACTTCCTGCTGAGTTATTATGAACTTATAAGTAAACGAGTATAATGAACCTACCCTACCCTACCCTACCCTACCCTACCCTACCCTACCCTACCCTACCCTGAGAATGTATGTACAGTATAATGTTACCTGATTCACTTTCTTGTAGTCACAGACGAGTGTGGGACTCCTGTACTCACAGTAAGGAGCATCCACACCCACGTTCACCTCCCAGGTTGGGTACACCCACACTACCCGCCCCATACACGCCCACATCATCACCCACACCCACACTCTCATTATGCCTCGCGGTGCTGTAAAATAATTAAAACACTTACTTGGTAAATTTATGTACCAAATTATTCATTTTCATACATTCAGTGAAAGTTTAAGATAAAGTATTTATGTATAACTCCAGAAAATATTAACTTTTTGTGACCTTAAAGAAAGCTGTAGTAAAGATAAACTTAATATACTTTCAACAAAACTCTTCAGGGAACACTAACAATATTAAACACTTAACAAAGGCATAAGAAAGAGACTGCCGTGTATATACTGAACTTACCCACAAGATCAGCTGAAGCAAACGTCGCCCGGAGCCACTCAATCAACTTCCACATCTGACATTTGTCTTAATTGTCAGTAAATATTAATGATTCACCAACATGGAGCCAACAGCCCTCAGATCTTCCTCAGTAAAATTCTTGTTGTCGTCACTTACTTCACTGTCTGTCATGACTGACTTCACTGTCTGCTATCACTTCACTGTCTGTCACCTGTTACTTCATTGTCTGTCATCACTTACTTCACTGTCATCACTTACTTCACTGTCCGTCATCACTTACTTCACTGTCTGTCATCACTTACTTCACTGTCTGTCATCACTTACTTCACTGTCTGTCATCACTTACTTCACTGTCTGTCATCACTTACTTCACTGCCATCACTTACTTCACTGTCATCACTTACTTCACTGTCTCTCTATATAATGTTTCTCTCTGTTAACATTCGGTCGTCGTTCATTCCTCCACGTCTCTTTGGTCGAAGATTATTTCACCGTTTATCCTGTCCACCTCTGTCCACCTTTCTATTGTTGTCTTCTTCACTATAGTTACGATGACGTAGACGCGGCAGGATAATGTCACGGCCACTACAGAATAACCCTCTTTCTGCAGTACTCCAACTCCTAGGCCCATTAATCAGACTCGAGTTCTGAAATAATGACTTTGGTTAACAGACCAGATCATGTAGACTGTAAGAATACATCCAAGGAAACTGTTCATTATACTGTGCAAATTGAGACAAGACTGAGAAATACTAATTTATAACAGTTAACTATTATATTTACAGTAAAACAAGAGTACAAACATTAATACCTGCTCGAGTAAGACAACATAGGAACTCTGAAATGTCAATGCAATGTCGATGACTTCTTTTTTTACCTAAGGGTGGCTGGTGGTGGTGAGGCAGCAACTCTTCTCCTCTCCTCTCCTCTCCTCTCCTCTCCTCTCCTTTCCTTATTGTAACTGGTGAAGCTTCAAATCCTCTAATAATTTCATGATGTATTTAATGTTTAATAAATTTCCTTTCGTCGTCTTGTAATGTTATCAATACTTTGTTAACTTTCTTGTGTTTATTTCCCAGCTCTTGTAGTTGTGTTTTATACTTTTATATTAATTCGTGTTTGCTTCCTCTTTTGATTCGCTCTTAATAATATCTCCTTCTGTGCACTTAAGAGTTCCATAACACATCGTTAGCCTCACAACCTTGCCACGCCCGAGAGACTGATAGGTATTGAGGGGGAAAATAGATAACACGTGGACTGTACTTCTTTCTCTGAACCAAGATGACTTTACCTATTGTGTCTCACTCTTTTCACTTTTTCACGATCACTCACTTGATACAGGTTGTCCATTGTTTCTCTTTATGACTGCTTGCCTTGCTGATGTTACGTGCTCCTCTTCTTCAGCAGGAAGTTCCTTGAAGCCAACAGATTTGCTAATGAGATTGAAGGAGTCTGTTTTATTCTGGCCGCTGTGTCAGACTATGTGTCACATTGTCTGTGTCACGTTTTCTGTGTCAGACTCTTTGTATCGGGTTGTTTTTGCCTGGCATTCTGTATCAGAATGTCTGTGTCTGGCTGTCTGTGTCAGGTTGTCTGTGTCTTGTTGTCTGCATCAGGCTGTTTGAGAAATAGGTGCGTACCTTGGACACAGTCGTGGTCATAAGGGCACAATGACACTCGCATAAGAACTAACTGAACTCTGCCTTACAACGATCACTGAGGAACGACACAGATGCATTGGACTTGATAAAGGCAGTGAGATAAGACCAATCAGGGTTATCTTTCAGACACACGGTACCGTCATCAACACCTTATAATTGTGTTCTACGTCAATTCTATCGTTTTTTTTACAAGTCTTCTCTCAGCACCGGCACTGCAGTCTCGCGAGAACAACATTACATCATTACTGCTTGTTCTCCTGATCGCCATTATTTAAAATAAAAGTATAATATCGCCATTACGGTCAATTCCTATCACTATCAGGGTTTATCTCTTACAAATTGATAAGATTACCAAACCTGCTTCCATCTGTTATACTCGTATGACTTTAATAAAGACGATACAACACATCTAAAATTGTAAGTGACGTCGTAAAAGTTGAGTCATGATCTCGTTATTAACTTTATGATTGTTGTTCACTTAAGATACCAAGTGTGTCTTTGGTTTTATTAAATTGGTCAGGAAATTGACGTCCAGGGATACTCCTCTCTGATAAACGTGCTGCTTTCATTAACTGGTAAACAACACTGGAAAGATCGCTACCATTCACTGCTCAACCGAAACATTGATGTTGATGTCCTGACTACCCAGCAGGTCCCTCAGCATCCAGAGCTAACCAACCTCAGCTATCCTCCATCCCGGGATGAGGTAGCTACTGCCATCAAACAGAGAAGGAGGAGGGTATTGAAGGAAGGGAGAGGTGTGAGAGTAAAGGAAGAGAGGGAAAGAATAACTGCTAGACGTGGGAAGTCGTGGTGACGCAGCTGTACAGTAGTTGCTGGACCTGCAGGTTAATGTCCTGAAACACTCACAAGACAGCAGAGTGAAGTGAGTAAAGTTGACAACGCCTTCAACGTCAGACTTATGTAAAGAACCAGTACTGTACCGCTCAAAACTCACTAACACTCACACAAAAGAACTTAAGGCATCAACTTTGATTAAATTTGAACCAGATGTCACCTAAACTACAGAGCATATTCAGTCTCGACTTTCACATGTTTATTGTGACCCGTTGGTTTACCTGCAGTGTCTGGGTATATGATTGACTTTTATATTTCATGTTTTATTTTTCTGAATTTAATACATAATTTATAATACAGTGTGTGATGACTGTGGCCGATTATTGTATGCAGGATGTGGACCCCTAAGAGACTAAATAAGATGAACAGGAGACCTGCCCTATCTCTACTTCTCATCTCCTAACTGTGTGGCTCAGGTCCTCGGGAGACACTCACTGCCACAATCTCTGGTGAAGGGGAGAGGCGGTGAGGCACTCAGAATGTGTGATATTTGGATTGTGTACGAATTGCTTGTAGCCCGTCCGGTGAGATTGTCTGTCTGTCTGTCTGTCTGTCTGTCTGTCTGTCTGTCTGTCTGTCTGTCTGTATATGTTTGTCTATCTTTTCTCTGTCTTTCTGTCTGTCTTGCTCCTTCTATATCATTCCTCTCTCTCTCTCTCTCTCCACTGAAAACATTATTTACTTCACCTAAGTTACCTCGTCTACACCTGTATTCATTAAGTCAGTGTTTTAAAAGGAACAGAAACAATTGCAACAGGTAAGTTAATCTCCAGGTGTCTTTGTGAGCCTAATTAGGTCCATGAAAGTAACTCTATTATTTTTGTTGTGTTTGTTTTTCATTGTTATTACTTGTTTTTCTTCTGGTTATCATTTTTTTGTATTTATTTTTGTTTATTTATTGACCTTATTCCTCTTGTTATTTCTTTATTCTTGTTTATTTTCTTATTTTTGATGCAATTGTGATTTATTTTATTTTTATTTACATTTATTTTCCTATTATTTGATGTTATTTCTCTTCTTACTTGTTTATTCTTGTTTATTTTCCTATTTCCTGGTATTATACGGACTTCAGAACACACACACACACACATACACACAGTTTCCTTCTGCTCTGATTGGTCCTTCCACAGCAGCGACGACCCGTTACGACCAATCACTGTGAGTTGTGTATGAAGTTTGTGGTGGTTGTGGGAGTGGGTGGTGGTGGGCTGAGGTGGGGGTGGTGATGGGAGTGTGGTGGTGGATGTGGTTGGTGGTGGTGAGGGGGGGTTGTAGTGAGGGGTTGTGATGTTAGTGCAAGTGACATTATTATTATTATTATTATTGTTGTTGTTGTTGTTGTTGTTGTTGTTGTTGTTGTTGTTGTTGTTGTTGTTGTTGTTGTTGTTGTTGTTGTTGTTGTTGTTGTTGTTGTTGTTGTTGTTGTTGTTGTTTGTTGTTGTTGTTGTTATTGTTGTTGTTTATTTATTGTTGTTTTGTTGTTGTTGTTGTTGTTGTTGTTGTTGTTGTTGTTGCCATCATTATTATTATTATTATTATTATTATTATTTATTGTCATCATTATTATTATTATTATTATTATTATTATTATTGTCATCATTATTATTATTATTATTATTATTATTATTATTTAATATCTCTTATTATTATTATTATTATTATTATTATTATTATTATTATTATTATTATTATTATTGTCATCATCATTATTATTATTATTATTATTAGCTCTCAAATCAATTTTCACAACTCATCTACCAGTCCTCTATTCCATTCTACAATATATTATTTCCACCAAATTCTATGATCAATCGCATGGCGCCATTGTCAACTCCACCAGGCTTCATAATCCACTCATCAAACCTTCAACTAGACTGTCCTAATCTATTTGTTATCTCAACCATATTCCATCCAGACCTTCATTGTCAATTATGTCCATTTTCACACTATCACTCCATCAACTTACACCAAAGTGCACACTCCACTACACCACCAACCATTATACACAGCAGGTGCTTCACTCTAAGTGTTTCGAACCTGTTTCAAAGTTCAGGTTCAGGCAGAGAATCCTTACTGAGTGGCCATTAGTAAAGTATTATCCCTACTGAGTGGCTATTCTTAAAGTATTATCCTTACTGAGTGGCCATTAGTAAAGTATTATCCCTACTGAGTGGCCATTCTTAAGGTATTATCCTTACTGAGTGGCCATTAGTAAAGTATTATCCCTACTGAGTGGCCATTGGTAAAATATTATCCCTACTGAGTGGCCATTCTTAAAGTTTTACCCACCCCACTCACCTGTTATAAGTACCAGTATTTCTTTAATGTATTCTATAGGTGAAGGAGAGAGGGAAGGCCTTAGGAATTTCAGTACTTTATGAAGGAAGAATGTAACGTAATGTATCAGTTTTAATATTATTCACTAGTTTATTTATTGCTTGCTACTTGTAAGATAGAGACTAATAGTACCATACTTATTAATTATGTGTTCACCAAGGGTCATGTCAGGTTAATTTAAGCCTCATTGATATACAGTACGTCCCTTCAAAATATTACCATTAGAGGCAAATATCACGGAACACAGTGTTTAGAGGGACGTGTTCATTTCTCGGTCCTCAATTTCATGTTCTTCAATAGACTACTTTTCGGGCTCAATTGTCGGAAATAGCGTTTTAAAGTGGAGTTATGTGAGGTTATATGGGGTGTATGTGGGGTTTTGTGGGTCTATGTGGGGTTATGTGGGGTTATGTGGGGTGTATGTGGGGTTTTGTTGGGTTATGTGGGGTGTATGTGGGGTTTTGTTGGGTTATGTGGGGTTTTGTGGGTCTATGTGGGGTTATGTGGGGTTATGTGGGGTGTATGTGGGGTTTTGTTGGGTTATGTGGGGTTTTGTAGATTATGTGGGGTTATGTGGGGTTATCTTCAGGGGTATGTAGGGTTTTGTTGGGTTATGTGGGGTGTATGTGGGGTTTTGTTGGGTTATGTGGGGTTTTGTGGGTCTATGTGGGGTTATGTGGGGTTATGTGGGGTCTTGTTGGGTTATATGGGGTGTATGTGGGGTTTTGTGGGTCTATGTGGGGTCTTGTGAGGTTATGTGGGGTCTTGTGGGATTATGTGAGGTTACTTGAGGGTTTCTGAAGTCTTGTAAAGTTTTAATAGGTTTTATGGGGTTTTGTAAGTTTTTTATATAGGTTTTGTGAGGTTAGGTTAGGTTAGTTGAGGGTTTGGTTAGGTTAGGGGAGGCTACGTTAGGTTAGGTTAGGTTACGTGAGGTTACTTGATGTTACGTGAGATTTAGTGACTCGTTTAATAAATAACTACGTTAACAATTAAATAACCAAAGGTATAAGTGGAATAACTAACTATATAATTAAACTACTAAGTGAATAAATAAGAAAGGTTTGGTTTACTCTACAATACAAATATTGGAGTTTATTTTGGTTTCTTGATATAGAAAACAACAACACGTTGGAAACTTGAGAACGAAGCAGTTGAACGAGTCAGTGAGTGAGGGTTCACAACTTCAGACCGTCAGTGTGGCTCGAGGCAGCGCTGAACGGGACGTTATCGGTGTAGACTCTTGGGATTCTTGTGAATTCTGAAGATTAGTGGTTTATAAGACAAGTTGGCCGTTGGTGCATTAGACGAGGTGTGGAATCGAGAACAGAATTGGTTTTCAAAATAACCTTGAACAAAATTATCAAGAACTATGGAGGGATCCTACACACTCCATTGGCCTCCTTGGTTAAACGAGATGGCCGTCATCACCAATCCTCCCACTAACCAAGGAGCTTTATCGAGGTACTGTAAACCTGATTTATTCCTGTACTGGCTCTAGGATTTATCTGTACCTTCGCAAATTGTTCATAGTTCACAACCCTCACTCCAATCTTTCAATACCGCTGGAAAATGGAGAAGTTTTGTATCATCGAATTTTTTTGAAGCACTAATAGTTTATCACACGGAACTTGTCCATTAATCAATCTTATGTTTGAATAAATTCCTTATACCCGGTAATTTTGAAGACACACACACACCACACACAGAGACACACACACACAGACACACACACAGAGAGACACACACACAGACACACACACAGAGACACACACACAGAGACACATACACACACAGAGACACACACCACACACACAGGAACACACACACAGAGACACACACACACAGACACACAACACACACACACACACACAGACACACACACACACAGAGACACACACACACACACACACACACACACACACACAGAGACACACACACACAGAGAGACGCACACACAGAGAGACACACACACAGAGACACATACACACACACACACACACACACACACACACTACACACACACACACACACACACACACACACACACTACACACACACACTACACACACACGTGCTCTCCACCAAATTATTCCCCTTTAAGACTTCTAAACGTGACTTTCTTAGAAGGTCGAAGGGGTAGATGTCAATTTCAAGTGTGTCTGAGATAAAGAAGTGGTTTATTAGAGGGACTTTACCTTTGCTACTACAATTATATAAACCTCTCCTAAGATAACAAAGATAAATACTATTAACCATTATCTTAGAGGTACCGCTGCCAAAATACGAATATACTTGATATAATCGTTCCCTTTATGAATATATCATTTTGTGCTTTATATAAATTAAGAGTTATGTTACACTCAAAATAATATTAATCTATTAAAACCATATTAGTAGTGTAGGTCTCGCAAGATAGTGCAGTAAAACATTTTTCCTGGTCAGCTGTGATGGCCAGGTAGCTTCAGGTGTTATCATATATTACTGTTGTTGAGGTAAGACAGGTGTTTTAGCTGTTACCATATGTTACTGCTGTTAATTGAGGTGGTTCAGCTGTTGTAGTACATTATTTCTGCATGATGTGAGCTTTATTTTAGCCTCTTCTCCACTGTTAAGAGGCCAGTCACATGTTACCTGCTGTTAAGTCCCTGTTTTAATATTTTATTTGGGATAATTCCTTTGATTTTATTTAGATAATGACTCCTCCCTTTTCGTAAATTAGCAAAAATATCTTCGAACTATATCAGTTTAATCGTCATGTAGCTATTAGGTTGGAATGATAGCCCGCTGATGTGGACGCAACGATTTATTGGTCATAACCTGTTGAACATAACACCACAGTTACACATAGAATACTAATCATATCACCAAGTTACATTCAGTATGCAGTACTGTATATCACTCAATGGTCATGAAGGTATTTGTCAGACTGTTAGCACTTCTTAATTCACTCAACAGACCAAGTACAGCTACTCCTCGACTTACGACATACTCGACCTCCGACCATCCGGACATACGACCGCCTCGGTCGTACCAAAATTTTGTCAAATTACGTATTTTCGAGTCCCAACATTAGTGATTGCGCTGTGTACTGACAAAATTTTCGTTTGTAATTCACTTTAAAATGGCTGGCAAGCTTAAAAGTGAGAGTTTTGTGGTGCTGAGAAGAAAAAGAGACATCCATTTTAGATTTTCTATGTCGAGGAGCAGCTGTATATCAGTGACCCATATTTCTGACAAATGATGTAACCAAACCAGACTAAATTTCACCCAATGATTGTTAGGTTAGGTCTGGGTATTCTCTGTTTGCCAGTATAAATGCTGCCTTCATGACTAATTCTGTTAAGATTTTTTACCTTCCCTGTGAATATTTAAATTATTTTGATTGAATCATCCTTAAATGTGTAAAGACAGTTTATTTGTAGCTACAGGTTAACTATGTCTTACTCTTCTGCAGAAATTAATCAGCAATGGGCGTGAGAAGTTAACAAATACAGTTTGTACCTCTATGTCCAGGACAATATTTGACATATTCATCTATAAAGTGTTAACTACCTGTAATGAGTTACCGTTTTAACTATAACTACTGGTAACAAATAATTACATTTCCCCCGGCACAGTACAGTTCATGTGATCATAACCTGGTTGTCACAACTGTTGTCACTTAACATTTAACAGTAGCTTCCATTTTCTCAGACTGATAACAAATAGAGAGGATAAAATCTGATGTAAATAAGGAAATAATTGGAGTAAAGAACTGTGGCATTTCAGTGGGTGACAGCAAGATGGTCAACCCAAGAGATCTTCGTGGGTTTGGTGATGAGACAGAAAACTACACCTTCAAGGATGTGAGTACTGTACTGCACCTAACTCTAGGAATTTGATCACCAAATGTTCATTTAATGGTTCTTGAAGATGATTAACCTACCATACTTATAATAAGATTCAGCAGCATATATAGATCTTTATAAAGTATTCCCTTAAAGCTCGCTGGGGTTAGGTAATGGACCCTGTGAGAAAGCAGAGTCCTCGAGTTTTTGATGCCAGTTTCAGGAGTGTGCAAAATACATATATATATATATATATAGAGCTATATGCACATGTATAACAACATTATGTATGTATAAGACATTATAATAAATATGAAATAATATAAATAAACATAAACATGGAATAACACTGTATGGACAGTAGGTCCATGAAGTGATAGTTAATTGTGGTAGTGACAATGCAAAGACAATACCTCTGAAATGTCATCTGATCTGGTGCACAGGATGTAAAAAATCCTTGAACTACTGGACAGTTCCTAGTGCACATGCCTGATCCCAATAGGTACTGTACTGTATTTGTAATGTGTATACCTTAGGTACCTATACATACAATTATATCATTTTGAATTAAATTAGGTAAATTTTATTAATATACCAACAAATGTTTGATATAATAGGTCCATAAAGTCATAGTTAACTGTGGTAGTGAAAAACATGATAGCATATAGCCAGTGATTTGGCTTTGCCAGCACAGTAGGATATTGAATCTGCAATTTTTTTTTCTCCAAAATATACCTTGCCAATTATAGGGTGCATCTTATGACCTGGGAAATATGGTGCTTTGTACTGCCCTGTAGTGTTGACTCATCTTGATCCCTGGCACACAGCCTCAGATTTATTTTCCGTGGCAATCCATTAGTTTCCGAGGGATGCAAGCTTTAAAACCGTGAGCTATAAGGGAATAAAACCGTGAGCTTTAAAGGAATACTGGTATGCATGGTTGTGTTTATCTTTTGGTTGTCCTTCAGAGAACATTATTATGGTATCTGTTTTTGCCGGGTAAATTTTGTCTTAAAGAAGCTGTGAAACTGTTCGTGCTGGTTCTAAATCAATTTTTTTTTGTGGGAAATTTTAAATAAAAAGCTTTGATAATATATAGCAACAGTGTCTGAGCAAGAATATATTTCTAAGAGCAGCAAATGCCTGCTTTCACTATCACTCCCACATTATCTGTCATAGCGGGAGTTTATTTTTTTCATTAATTTCACTTGTTTCTCCAGAGACTAAGAGTCATATCAGTGTTGGGTAAACTGTTCTGTTGACTAGTCACAGAGAGTGTAAACACTTATGTTTATCAATGGTATTAAATAAATCTCTCAATTATTTTGATAAACTAGTTAACACAAACTGTATTTTGAAAAAGGAAAGAAAGGATAGTTTTTTCCATAATTTTGACATAGTTAGGAACTGTACTGTGTCTACTGTATATGATAATGCCATGGTCTGTCCTCATGCTGTATGTAGTAGCTATGCCTTTTATTTCAGACTCTAGATTGGTTTGTGCATGTCAGAGACCCAGCAGAAGTATTCAAGGCCCAGCCAACTTACTTTCTTTCAGAATGGTCTTATGTGATCATTGCATTTCTGTCATTAATTCATGGTAATTATGTTATATTTTTGTCTTTTGGGAGGAATAACATTATAAGTTTAGTTTTGGCCAAATTGAGTCAAGATCTCCTGTTATTAGTGGGAGCAACTTACATAATTTCAGAGTGAGGTTTTTGGTTAATTTGATCTTATTGGCAATAAACTAAACATCAGTGTTCCCTGTGTCTTATTCCTAGCCTGGCTGGCTGGTGTCTCAAGGGTCTTGTCTGGTGTTCTGTATCAACCATAAAGAATAGGATGAAGAATTGGAAGTTTAATTTTATGGCTTAGAAGGGAAGATATGACTTGAAATAATTCACCTCTCCTAGATCCTTAGCTCTGTGCAGGCAATGTGAGCTTTGTGTGTAATGTATTACTTCAGGCTTGGCAAGTCTGAAGTTTAAGGATGCTTAACCAAGCTCTTCTTGTGAGTGGCCTAATAATGCTGTAACTCAGCAATGTAGCTGTTTTAACCACAGTTTGTGTTGGCTCAGTTGCCTAAGATCTTCAACATTACCACCATAATGCTAGTTACATACCGATGAATAGTCTTTATTTGATGCTTCCAACTAAGGCCTTGGGTAAGTTTGTAGCAAGGCAGTTGATTGGTTGGCTGACAGACACCCAAAAATTTTTATAGTTCTTCAGTACCTGTATTTTATCTATCATACTGATATATTAAAAGATAATAACTTTTATGTGTTTATCTCTGAAAACTTCCACACTTGAGAAGCAAAATTTATCATGTGAAAAGCTTTGGTTATACTGTACAATTATCTTGAAGAGAAGAGAAAAAATAAAAAATTTCAGAGACAACATCCAATGCTCTACGTGTCGTCATGTGGTGAAGAGGAGTTTACATCCTAGAATTTGTTGATCATGTTCGTGTTCTCTTTAAGATTATTTTTATTATCAATACATTTCACATGGTAATTTTTGCTTCCCAAAGTGAGGAAATTATCAGAGATCAACACAGAATACTTATTACAGTATCCCAACCAATCAGCTGCCTTACTACTAATTGACCCTTCACCTAAGTTGGAAGCTCCTGTGAACAGACTTTAGGTGCCAGGTACTGTAGTGATAAGATCAGTCTGCTTTTTTATCAGATTCTTGGTGAGTTTTGTTCGTGATTATGTAAGAGTAAGATATTGGATGATTATTATAAATAAACATTTCCAATGGTTTACATGAGTGTGTGTGTGTGGTGAGTCTGTTAATAGTACTGACACATACAGGGCCCCAGCTGGTTTACAATGCGTCACCTTACTGTGTACTAAGGTACCTCATGGTATCTGTGCCTTTCTGCTTTTCACTCCATCATTCTTTTAAGTAACACTGTTGAGTAATTTTAACAAATTTCTTATAGGGACCAATTTCCATACAGTAGACAACTATGTAGATGTACAGTCCCCCAAAACTGTACAGTATTAGTAATTTTTCCATCTCTATAGTTTGAAACACTGGACAAAGTGCATTGTCATAATGTTGGCATACCTACTCTTCATTTATGCAACAGTACAGTATTCAAGCATATACATTTATAAAATCTAGCTATGCAGGAATGAAACTTAAATTACGAGTATGTCCGGTAATTTTGAAATTCTGCACCAAACTGTTACAAGATAATTTGATCCATATAGTAGATAATGATGAATGAAAAAAACCCTGTGGTTAATTGTACCAGCTGTTCTGAAACTAGTGAACTATACACTGCTCACTAAACTACGAACCACATTGACCCCATGGCCCACTATATTTTTCTGGGGGGACCTGTTCATTTAGTAGACTTGATTATCTAAAACTTCGGACTGTTGCTTGACAAAACTGCAAAAGTTAAATAAGTAAAAGCAAAGAGAAATTATTGCTGAACTGTTATGTAATTTCCCAAGTAATTGTCATCAGTCTCTTGTTGACGGCTAGTAACAGTGGATTCTTCCTTATCAGTCCCTGGCTTCTCCACTCAGCATTAATAGCAATGTTTGTGGTGTTGAGTCGTGCAGTTTGATTAACTTGTGCAGTACAGTATGTATATGTACCTTAGAAACCAGTGGTTTAACTTGATTGAAATTTGGGTCACATCTCAAGGACCCAAAGATCGTATTTTGATTATAGATAAAGTAATATCAAGGTCGCAGCGAGAAGAGTGAATTTGGAGTTGTACAGTAGTGTAATGAATACATCGGCTATAATAAAAATTCTGTACTTAAAAATGAAAGGTTACATAACCAGCCAATGAGATCTGTACATGATTGTGTTGTGATTATCTTATCATGATGAGTGTGGGTCAAGATGAGAGGTGGTGGGTGTGGGTCAAGATGAGAGATGGTGGGTGTGGGTCAAGATGAGAGGTGGTGGGTGTGGGTCAAGATGAGAGGTGGTGGGTGTGGGTCAAGATGAGAGTGGTGGGTGTGGGTCTAGATGAGAGGTGGTGGGTGTGGGTCTAGATGAGAGGTGGTGGGTGTGGGTCTAGATGAGAGGTGGTGGGTGTGGGTCAATATACTGTACATGTACTGTACATATACTGTGCTGTATAATGGAATATCTCTTAAGCACATGTTAGCTTGATTGTCTCTACTATTGATGATACAGAGTACAGTACAGTACAGCACAGTACAGTACTTTAAATTAAACTTTGGTTCTGAACAGAGTTAGCTTTTGGGATTTTTGGAAATGGCATCAGATTAATTACCATTGGACTACCTGTATTAAATTACTGTAATATTGTGATGGTACAAGTTACACTTAAAAAATAAAAAATAATTTGGACCAGACCCAATATGAATAACTAAAATTTTCAGTTAACTAAAGATCATTATAAACAACAACAACAACAACTAATAGTTAATTAAGCACCATGTAAATTACTGTATGAACTACCTGTAATGTATGATACCTGTATGTACAGTATAACTGAAATTCAACTAAGTACCAGTATTTGAAGGACTACTTGGGCTTTAATAAGTGCGGTAAAATACTCCATCAGTGATGACAGTTATGTTTATAGACCTCACCAATGTGCTACAGTGCTATCACTCAGTGGCACACAATAACAAACTTTATTAACACTATCCTCAATGTAGACACACATAATAATACAGCAATTAAACTAATGAAAGGAGAGAAGGTGTGTGCAGTAATACTGTAGGATTCCCCATAACACTCGTAGCTGGTCAGCTGTGAGATGGCTGTACACGTTGACATTGTTACATGTAATAAAACTATAAAGGTTGTGGAAAATCATGTCAATACTTTGATGTGACTTAGAAATAAAAAACAAAAATATAAAACTATAAAATAAGAAAAATGAAGAACATGGGTGTGTATGTGTGGGCTGTGAATGTGTGTGTGGAGGCAGTGGGCTGTAGCTGCGTTGCCAGCCCGGTCGTGCTGCCTCCCCCAATATGACATCACGGCATACATACAAAGCATCGTGGCAGCAACCACACACATCTCTAAGTCAGCTGAGTGGCTGGCTTCCCCTTTGTGGGAGGGGGAGTGCATTTCTATCTCCTGTGTTCATTGCCAAATGGAAGTGCAATATTTTTTTTTTTTTTTTGTATTATTTTTATTCATTCCTCACATTTACAGAGTAATAAATTAGACCTCAGAGAGATAAAGATGCCATGCTAGTTCACGGTTACTTGAAATTCAGTGCCGTGGTTGGCGTTAGGTGTATACAGAGTAAAAACCATGGATACCCGGAATCCACGGATGGGAAATCCATAGTTGGCAGGGTCTACTATACAGTAGTTAAAAATGCCACCACTCATTTTTTTTTTTTTTCAGATTTTTTATGTTTTCAGAAAACTGATGTTCAGATTTTTGAAGTGCAACCTGTATTACTAAGTGATACTACTACTACTTGGATCAATTAGTAATTGTAATTGAAGCTGGTTGTAATTAATTACACAATTCTGAATAATTGTAATTGTATTTGTAATTGAACTTTGAGAATAAAAAGTAATTTAATTATAATTGCAATTTGCTGTTCAAGTTTAATCCAATTACAATTATGCCATGAAACTGGGACATTGTGAAATATGAAGGATTACTTAAATATTGATAAAAGTATAATAGGTACCAACATAATAATAATAATAATAATTAACGGTTTATTGAAAAAATTCTGCAGCCCGAAGGCTGAAAATATACATTGGACATAAATGACTTATTACATACATTGGTGGTTTAACAAAAGCCTTCATTAGAGAAAGGTAGAGGAACATACAGTGAACATACAGATTAATGTAGGTGTTGAACAGCAAACTCGTAGTGTAGTAACTCCCTCCCAGATGGTGTTAGGAGGAACTCACGTGGTGTAGTAGTTCCCTCGGATGTTGTTATGAGGGACCTGGCGTGGTTTAGTAATTCCCTCGCAGATGGTGTTATGAGGGGCCTCACGTGGTGTAGTAATTACCTCACAGATGGTGTTATGAGGGACCTCACGTGGTGTAGTAATTACCTCACAGATGGTGTTATGAGGGGCCTCACGTGGTGTAGTAACTCCCTCACAGATGGTGTTATGAGGGGCATCACATGGTGTAGTAATTCCCTCACATATGGTGTTATGAGGGGCCTGACGTGGTGTAGTAATTCCCTCACAGATGGTGTTATGAGGGACCACACATGGTGTAGTAATTCCCTCACAGATGGTGTGATGAGGGACTTGATGTGGTGTAGTAATTCCCTCACATATGGTGTTATGAGGGACATGTGGTGTAGTAATTCCCTCACAGATGGTGTTATATGAGTGAGGTTTGGTCCCAGGCCTTCCTATTGTAGACGGATTAACACATCGGTGGTTGTTGTTGGGTCTCGCGGGGGCCGTTATCACTGGGTACCTGGGACCTCACTGTGTGAAGGTTAACTTGGGTACGACTGTTACTGTTGAGTTGTTCTCACTGACTTAAGCACTGTTCACCACTGTTCACCTCTGTTTAACACTGGTTCCATTCCTTTCCTAAATGAAATTGTAACTTCTGGCGAGAACTTGTTGATATTCAGGTGGGGAGGAGGGTTCAGGGGAGGGGGTTAGTATGGGCCAACTTAACAGTTGACCTGGCTGCTCCGAGAGGAGCACCAGTTACGTCTTGACCCTTCGGTGGTCAAGGATGTAGTCCTTATACACTTGACAGTACACACGTTTGGGAGTCGGGACTAGAGTTAGTCACGTCCAACACTCGTACGCCAAGTGGTCCAGTGTGGAGCCCACTGTGACAGATAATGTCGCTCGGCGCTCGGTTACAGTATCGACAGTGCCACGTCGAGGATGAGTGGTGTACTGGGACTACTGGCTAAGGTTAAGCTTATTGGAAACAAATAAGTTTTGGTCGGCATCTTACTTGTTTTTATTATTTGCCTTAGTTGTGTAAACCATTCAGAAGTTTACAAAAGAGGCCTCTCCTTTTTTCCTTCACGTCTCCTGCAACTAACGGTGAGCAGAACTCACACACAGATAAGTTTGAACAAGTGTTGATGGAGTATATAAGTGGAGGGCTGTGTCCCATTTGACGTGGACCCCTTGGTCTATTGGAGGGATTCTCCTCCAAAGATACTGTACTCCTCCTGAAGCACCTGGCCAGAGAAATGTTGAGCTGCACAGCCACTTCAGCACCGGAAACTTCTGGTGATCAAGTCCAGCAAAGATATATATGATAAGCTTCAATTTGTGAATTGAATAGCAATGAATTATAGTGACAGAAAATGTAAGCAAAAATTCGAACCACAATAAAGTGCAAAATCTGATATAAAATGTGCTTGCTTGGTACTTAGAAACTTAACTATGTAGTCCGAACATGGGTAAAAAACTTGTAATTGTAATTTTATATGTAATTAATTTCAACATTTTATGTTATTGTAATTGTAATTTGAGAGTACAGTATTGTGAACCAAGTAATTGTAATTGTACATATTTGTAATTTAAACTTTAATTGAGTAATTTTAATTGAAATTGTAATTGACCTTAAATAATGTAAGTGATATCTTCGTTACCCGGAACAATTGGTGTAGAGCACTTCCGGGAATGTGAGATTTCTGGGTAATGAGACGACTCTCTCAAAGCCGGAAAAAAAATCCTTCATCCCCGGAATATTCTGGAATTTTCCGGGTGACGGAAAATTTTTCTCAGAAATTCCAGAAATTGCCCATTACATCATTTCTCAAACCAAGAAAAATATATCTCATACCCGGAATTTTCAGTGGAATGGAAAAATGTTCTTTGGAGTTCCAAAAATTGCCCATTACATCATCTCTTAAACCCGGAAAAATATCCTTCGTTCCCGGAATTTTCCGGGAAACGGAAAAATTTTCTCAGAAGTTCCAGAAATTGAGCCTGATTTTCATCTCTCAAACCCGGAAAAAAAATCTCCCATCCTCGGAATTTTCCGGGTACGGGGAATTTTATTTTGGAAAATTTCAATTCCGGCTATCGGAGAGTTCCGGGTTTGGGGGACTCCGGCTAACGGAGATATTACTGTAATTAATCCAAGCCTAACTACTTCTACTACTACTACTAATAATAATAATTAATAATAAGCCTTTCACTATAATTGGTATTGAAATTTATACAAAAGAAAGATTACTTAATGACATCTTCCCTTCCCTTTATTTTCTGTTTATCATTCTGTCTTTTCTTCGCTTTATTTATCATTGTGTTTACTTTTTCTACTGTCATCATTCTATCATTCTATTTTTGTGAGTCAGTTGGGTATTTTCTTCCTCTAAATAAGTATAAGAAGAAATTAACCTGGTCTTAACTGTTACTGAACACTGTTATAATATTTAATGACTTAGGATTATAATTTTAGCCTTTATTGTGGGGGGCCGCTGGAAGTACCACTGGCTGGCGTGTTACCTTCATGGCTGGACTACGGAGATGGTCTCATTCTGGATGCCGGACATAGACAACTACTGGCACTCACAGACCACCATAATGTTTCTGGGTCGCAGACTTCCACTCCACATACCCTTGATTTGTAAGTTACAGAAATGGCTTGACTGATAGCAAAATCAATAAGGTTCATCTACTGTGTACAAGAATTTAAATATGTAGTTTGGATGGAAAGTTAGTTTTTTTTTGATATTATTTAACTATAAACTGATGGATAAACAAATATTACCATTACTTATGTCAAGCCAGCAGTAAATGGGTACCTTACTTTACATAAGTTGGGGAGGTGAATATAGAGTACAGTGCTAATAGATGTAATGCAGTACATGTACAGTAATATGTTTTCCAGTGAATTTTGTATATGACTCAAATACTTATCATTTTCTTGTAGTTAATATAGTGCAGTGATCAGTTGGGCTTTTCTTCATTTAATGTTTTTTTTTACTGATATTGAAACTAAACGATATGGATGGTTAGATATACTGTAGCTAGTTATTAAAATGTTGTGTTGAGACCCAGTATACAGAGAGTGTAACAGTATCAGTTGTTATAGTCTTCTTTATAGTATCCCTCTCTCTGATCTTGACTGTACAGTATATGCAAATATTGTACATGTCAATACAGTACTGATATGTGATTATTTTCCAGACCCATCACTCATGTACAATGCAGCATATATGGTCGCACATGCAAAGCTTCCTCGGTGGGCAGAACCCATGGCTGGTCAGTGACATTTTAAATCCTTGCTTAAGAAGAGTGAGTTTCTGTATTATTAACCAGAGAATGTTGTATTGTTGAAGTGATCCATCAGCCTAGGACTGTCCAAGTGTAATGTAATACTCGTTATATTTATCACAAAACTTCACCATTTACTCTGGTAGATATAGACCAACCTTAAGTACACGACCCTACCTGGAAATAAGTATCTAATGGCTTTTGCTGACTATCTTTGATCAAATTACCTTACTGCTTACTCTTGCTGTCTACCTATACTGTCAAGGTACAGTATACTTTGGAAACTGTATACTGTACTTCCATGGTTTATGTACACCGTATATCTGTGTCGTCTATGCACATGCTGAACTGTATGCCTACATAGTCTTCATACATGTCAAACCAATTGTAATCATGTATGATGATTTTACTGAATAAATAATAATTTATATAATGTATAATATTAATAATATTAACAATAAAAATAATAATAATATTACACCTATTATTATTATTATTATTATTATTATTATTATTATTATTATTATTATTATTATTATTATTATTATTATTATTGTTATTGTTATTATTATTATTATTATTATTATTATTATTATTATTATTATTATTATTATTATTATTATTATTAGAGCATAAAATTATTCAGTTTTTTGTACAGGTATACCACCGATTTTCCGAGAACTGATGGTCCGGCACCTCCTTTTGTCCGGACAAAATTATGAGAGGTCACTTAACTTCTCTCCCTCCCTCCCTCCTTCCCTCCCAGCCAGGGTGAAGGTAGTTTTAGCCTTAACGTTTTTATCTTATAAAATGTCACAGACTAGACTTAGCAGAATATAACTTGCATTGCTGGAATCCTTGCAAGATAGCAAATAATTTGAGTATGAACATCACAAAGTTTGCACAAGAGATAAAATTTTAGTCCTTTAGTGTAGTGAGTACAATAATATGTTGCTCAAAGTTATGGCTTTTTCACATTTAATTTATATTTAACATTTGTTTAATTTAGGTTTTTAGCAGTCCATGGTGCTTTAGAGACATGGGAGGTGTATCATTAGTGGTTCAGAGGTGTATTGTTGAATTATTATTACCTGACCTCGGTTAGTCCGGCAAAACGGATAATCTGACAAGGGTTTGGAACCAAGGGTGAAGGAAAATAGGTTGTTTACCTGTATATACATAATTGGAATATTGCAGAAACCATTGCTTTCTATTGACTTCATAATAATCTTTTAGCACATAACACAATGTGATATTGTCGTGGGCTAATAATATATGGCTTGTAGATTATTTTGCAGACCTAAAGTAGTAAGTGCTTTTAGCCTTAACTGGTAAAACTGTATAAATTGAAACTGGTAACATTGCTTTCAGCTGTAGACTGGTATACATGACACATAAGTCCCAGATGATTCATTAATGAGTGGCAATTATCAAACAGTTTTTCAGTTAGATAAAGACTGTACAGTTAGTGGTGTAGCCTCAGGCCCATCATTAAGTGCCATAATCAACACCCAAATGGCTTACAGATATCCAGAGTACAGTACAGTACACGTACTCCCAGATGCACATGGCTGACAGATGGGATGACTTAAGGATACTTTATATATCAGTAATGAATTTATTCTCTCCCCAGCTGGCTTGGTAGAGGTCTTGATTGACATTCCTTATGATATCATGGCAGTCAAATTTGTTCATTGGACGTGGCACGACACAGACCCCAATATCTATGACCGTCACTACTGGGTGCCTTGGAACTCCTATTACTTTCACCTTGCCTTTGGTACAGCATTCACGTTTGCTCTCAACTTCTGGCGCCGCAAGATAACCGGCAGTGACGACAAAGGAGAAGTGTCCAGGTACAGTTGTATACTCTGTAAAGATTGGTGAAAACATTAGGTCAGGTTTAGATGTAAGGCACTTGATACAGTACACTTGTGTGTAAACATTGATCAAACACTTTTTCATTATGGTATGTCTTGATTTTAATGAATTGTTGTATACAGGAAAACCTTCATTATGGAAACATTGCTTTATTGATTTGCTGATACAAAACATCTGGTTGTGCACTGACACTTGTAGATCTTTATAGGCCTGCAAAAAATACTGTTCTGGAACTGAGGTTCTTGGCTACTTATTTTCTCTATGGGCCAGTAAGACACTCAGTGAGTTTGTTCATATTCTGGATTTATTTTTGAAAAAATAAGAAATAATAGAAAAATTAATACACAAAAGCCTATGTTGTTGGTTACGTCATCTTGACTCCAGGAAGGACTCAGGAGTACTACAGGTGGGGGACACAAACTTAACTCTAGTTTATTTTATTTTTTCACTGATCAGTCACATAGCTGCTTGGGCAGTTGGTCAAGTCTCTGTTACACACTGTTGACAAGTACTGGGTATGTACTGGCTTCAGAATGTGTTTGTACCTGTGCCAGTGTTTGTCAAGTCTGGTATTAAATGAGTTCACATTTGGTGCTGTCACAATGCTCTCTGGCAGGTTATTCAAAGAGTTTACAACGCTCACTAAAAAAGTTTGCCATGACAATTTTCTGAACTTGTGGTTTCTTTAACCAGTCTGTGACCTCTAGTGGGGTGAGCAGTTGCTAATTCCAGATGATCATTTAACTGAGTAATGTCCTCTGAGGTTCTTATAAACTTCTATTAAATCACCCCTTGTCTGCCTATGGTATAAGCTAGGCGACTACAGGTGTTATAATCTCTCCAGTTGCCTGAAGTGCCAGAGTGCAGGCACCAATCTGGTGGCCCGAGTTGGTGAAATAAAAAGATTTTAAGATTTTCTGACAGTTTTACAGCTACACGAGATATTTATCTGTCTGCTCTAATCAGGGCTACCGAGAGTACAGGGAAGCTGGGATAAATCCCCAGGACAGGGGCCTCTAGGGATAGATTAATTATACAGTGACCCCTCGGTTAACGAACTCAATCCGTTCCAGAAGGTCGTTCGTTAACCGAAAAGTTCGTTAACCGAAACCATTGTTTCAATGGGTTTTTGGGTAATTGGTTCCAGCTCACCGAAAATTTCCTAAATTCAACAAAATTGGTAGAAAAGTTCACTTACTTTGAGGTGTGTATGTAGAAGGCTCCTGGATGATGATGATGATGATGGGAATTAGAATGAGGGTGGAGGAGAAGGAAGAAGAGAAGGCATTGGGGTGGAAGAGAAGTCACCCCATGGCACCATTTCACCCATAAAATTTTAGTTCTCTTGGTGTATTTCAAGATTATTTTCTTTAAATCAACACTGCACTGCATTATATATTGTCAATATGTAAAATATATTTCAAAATGACCAATAATTTGCTTGGAAACACAGAAAAAAAGCGTTTAGTTGAAGAGAGTCTCAAGCAAGATGTTACCTCCAGTGAAAACAGAGAGAGACTAACGCCTGTTTGCTGTGTTAAGAGGCTGGATGCCGCGCATTAAACTAGTCACTTTACCTTCAATTATGTTCAATAATTGTTAAAATGACTAAAAAATTGAATATTAAACTTTTAAAATTATTGAATAGTATAAACTTCTTGGTATTTACTAAAATAGTAAGGAATTTAAGCCCTAGAACCGATTAATGTATTGGCGGACTGATACTAAAGCTGGTTGCCCGGCCAGTGCAAGCGAAAACTTGTTGAGGTCGGTTCGTAAGAAATTCGTTAACCGAATTTTTGTTCGTTAACCGAATTGAAGATCCTTATGGAAGGCAGTTCGTGAACCGAAATTTTGTTAACCGAGGCGTTCGTTAAACGAGGGGTCACTGTATATCTATAAAAAGGTATTCGAATTAAATGGAACGCTAAAAATAAATATATAGAACAAAAGTGTTATAGATAGATATTATTAGCTGTTAACAATCCAAAAGGAGGCCCATAAAATTATCTATCTCAAGGGCCTTGGCCAACTCTCAGTGGCCCTGGCTCAAACGCTTCAGTGAATCAGAACTTAGATTTATTAATTAATTTTTTTTATGGGGACACATTCTTAACCCTGTTTACTTAGAAATATTTTGGGATAAGACTGTCTTCCTGTATACCCAACTTTTCCTTAGCTTCTATGATGTTATTTAATCCCATAGTAGATAGGTTACAGTACAGTTAATATACAAGACAAACGTTACTTTGAGCAGATAAGAAGTAACGCAGCATACCTGAAGTACTGTACCTTGAAAAGATCGTTCATGGACTCCTTAGTAGTGAATAGAATCTGTAGGATATAGGATGAGATAAATTTATGGGATAATTTCTGTACCAAATTGTTTTCTTTTTCCAGTCCTGGTAAAGAAATTGTTTGTGCCTTCCTGGCTGGCTTATGTGGTATGCCCGGGGGAGTCATACAGTTCATCTTCTTGTATCACCCCCTCCATGACACTTATGGCATCCACACAGAGAACTGCACCCTAGCTATTGTTCTCGTGTACTTCTTGATTGTTTGGGCAGCTGACCGTACGCCGCGAGTGACATCACGCAGACAGAAGGGTAAGTGTGAGTTTGTATGTTCCCCATTGGGTAGTTTAGTTCTAACCAGGCCCATGCACAGACTTTTAGGAGGGTAGGTGCTCAACTGATAAAAGGGCACTTGTGAGGCCCACTCATACTTGGAGCTCCATCATAACCTTCATCCCTGATGTTTTCCATTTTTAATCCATTGTTTTCAAGAATAGCTATAACCATGTTATCCAGTTGTTTACCTATTGTTGACTTCACATAACACACCTGTATGAAATGATCTTTGGTGTCCATGTCAGCAGCCAAACGTACAACACTGGAGACCTGCTTAGTATGGGGCACATCTAGGGCGTCATCCAAAAGAATTGTAAAAATTTTTGCTGCTTTAATATATTAGTTTATAATTTGAAATACAGTACATAATTAGTTAGGAATCAATTAAACTTTTTTGTAAGAGGAGAGATCTTGATTTAATATGGCGGCTCCTTAAATTTTTCGACACTCGCTACCATATTTATTGGTATACTCAAGTAAATTGGGAGGCACGTGCCCACCCAAGCCCTATAGGCATGACCCACTGTTTGGGGGTTTTACAAGCATTGCAATCTATTAATGCCATACCTGCAACATTTATTTTTCAATCGACAAATACCTGATACAAATGAAGATTAACAGATAACTTTCTTTTCACATTTGCAGCCGTTAACCTCGCTGGCAGCATTGTAACAAGGTATTTTTGGGTAGATATACGTAACATTCTTCATTTTACTCAATTCCATGCACACACTATCCTACATACATATTGTGAGAAAGTAAAAGAAATAATTGACCAAAGGGCAAACACATAAAGGGAATATACATTTGTTCACACACGAGGTACCTGCTTCAGTGAGGGAGGAGGCGAGGCGTGGGGGGCATTGTGAGTTAATTGGCGGAGACATCGTCTGAATTGCCATGGTGAACCAGGGACTAAATGCAAGTGGCGACTGTTAAACTTTCAATTGGCTTTTATTTACCGGTTTGGCAATACTTTACAGTATTTTCTGTTGTAACTTATTTATTGGTATTTATTTTTATTTATTCCTCACATTTACTGATACTGTACATAATGTTTTAAGAAAACTATGGCTACAGGAGGAAAATCCGCAAAAAAAAATTTCTTAAATTCTTCCTGCTAAAATTGGGAGTGCGTCTCATATGGCTGTGCATCTTACAGTATATGCAGTTAAGTAAAAAACCAGGCTGACTGTGAAGAGCTGCAGAAGGACCTCTGTGGGCTCCAAGAATGATCGAAGAAATGGCTGCTGAGATTCAATGTCACGAAGTGTAAGAGGATGCACCTGGGGCATACCAACGGTAAGGAGGCGTATCATATGTCCCAACGGGATGAAGAAACTGCACTATTTGTGACTGAATGTGAAGAGGACCTAGGTGTGTAGGGGGCAGTGAAATTTTGTTCAAAGCTGCACTCTTCAGGCATTGTTCCATATACATATCTAAGACTCCATGCCAAATTTGAAGCTAATATGTCGAGGTTTAGTCTGCCGCATTTTCTACTGAAATTTTTAAATTTACCTACAGTACTAGCCAAACAGCCGCTGTGGCGGTGCAATGTTCTGTTCAGTGTTTATCAACTTTTTTTTCATATCTCTTATTTCATTTAAGTTGTCTTGTTGCAGATGAGTATGGTGCTATGTCTATATTGATTATCAGCCTTTTCTCATTTCATTTCTCAATGTTGTGTTATTGTACTGTAATGTAGGGGAGACCTGGGTAAGTTGGCGCACTTGAAATTATTCAAATAGTTATCGTTAAGCAGTTCACACCGATTTAAGAGGCAAGAAATTGAGATGGCTAGTTTAGATAATTTGACGTCACTCTATTTTGATGGTAAGAAGACCGCCACTCGTGTGATGATAAAGAATGAGAAGACCGAGAAATGGAGTTCGAGGATGATGGTGAAAGATCATTATGTCATCATGGTTGAGCCTGGCAATGAATATCTCACACATGTGACTCCCAAGACTGGACACGGAAAGCAGATTGCCAAAACTATTCACGAGTTTCTGGTGGAGAAAAATCTAACCCAGCAGCCCATTGTGTGTGTTGGTTGTGATGGAACCAATGTAAATGTAGGATCAGAAAATGGAGTCATTCATCATCTTGAAATGTTACTTGGTCACCCGCTCCATTATTTCATATGTCAGCTTCACGGAAATGAGCTGCCTTTCCGCGCAGTTTTTTATCACTATGATGGTAAACCAAGTGGTCCTGAGCATTGGCGTGGTCCCATTGGAAAGCAGATCAAGGAGTCTTTGTCTGAGCTTCCAGTTGTCGCCTTCCAGCCAGTCAGTTTCCCTGATTTCCCTGTGTTTAATGATGAAATGGAGAAAGATCTGTCCTGGGATCAGAAATACCTGTATAGGATTTGTAAAGGAGTTATCACAGGTGTTGTTGAAGATGACTTGGCTGCTATTGAGCCAGGTCCTCCCTGTGTGTCAAGGTGGAACACCTTATGGAGTAGAATCCTCAGGCTGTATGTAGCAACATCAAGACCCAGCCATGAGTTGAAAAGAATTGTCATTACATCAAGATACACCCTTACGTAACACACGGCTCAAGGAACGTATTCCAGTCCCTGCTATATATGAAACACCTGAATAGTGAGGAGGAGGCGATAGTGAAGAAGGCTGTCCAGAGAAATGCATACTTCGCCCACACAGATCAACTTCTTCTTGGTATGTGTGCAGATGAGGACATGACTGTTAGAGAAAAAGCTGTCTCAATGATAAGAAAATTAGAGAGGAGAATCAGCAAGAGGAAGAATGCACTGGCAGATCTGAAGAGGAGGAGGAAGATTCTGATGCTGCTGTTGACGAGAATTTGTTAAACTATACTGATGAGGAGGGTAAAGATGGAGATGGGAATGAGGATGTGCCTCCTGTAGTCAACATGAGAAAGGTGGTGACTCCGAAACTAAAGTGGCAAGCAAAAAACTATCATTCCATGATTAACTGGAGGAATGAACTCAAGACTGAGCCTCCTTACATTGCTTCTCTGTCAAATCTACAGGTTAATGACATTCTTGAGACACCATTAGTGGTGCCCAAGTGGCCAAACAGCACTCAGGCGGTCGAGAGAGGCATAAAAGTGATGACTGAAGCTTGCACTGAAGTGACGGGATACGAATCGAGAGATGGATATATTAGGCAAAGATTATTGTCTAGGAAAATGATGCCAAGGTTCCGCACAAAAAAGAATTTCAATATGAACTTGTAATGATTTTCTATACGGTGTACCTGTAAAATAACATGTGAATTAAATCGATGTCACCCATGTAAAATTTATCATTATCCTGGAAAACATTAAATGACACCTAATTTTTGGTATACACTAAAAGTTGACAAAAAGTCGTTCGCGATGCGGCAGGGTAAGTATGCATGAAATGGCATGAAATTTTGCACAGGTGTTTGTTACAGCCATACAAACGATGCCTGAAAAGTGCAGCCTGCAACTCAAATAAAAGTGTTTTTTCCCTGCCCCCTATAGGTGTGTATGTTGACAATGAGCTGAAGTTCTCGGGCCATTGCGAGAAGAAAATAAATCAGGCAAATAAATTATTGGGTCTTATAAGAAGGTCGTTCAGATGTCTAGACGGTTCGTCCCTCGTAACGATCTTCAAGAGTGAAGTGCTTCCCCATCTGGAGTACTGTCACCCCGTCTGGTCCCCGAGATATGCTAGGGACTGTCAGTTGGTTGAAAATGTTCAAAGGAGGGCCACCAGACTGGTGCCTGCACTTCGGCACCTCAGCTACCCTGAGAAATTGGAGCACCTGAACTTGCCTAGCTTATATTACAGACAGACAAGGGGTGACCTAATTGAGGTGTATAAGCATCTCAAGGGGCACTACTCAGTCTAGTGTCCTTACTTGGAGCTGGCGGACGCTCGCCCCACAAGGGGTCACAGCTCAAGATTGAAGAAGCCGCAAGTCCAGAAAACTGTGAGGGCAAACTTTTTCGGAGTGAGAGTTGTGAACTCTTGGAACAATCTATCACAAAGTGTTGTGATGGCACCGAGTGTGAGCTCTTTCAAGACAAGACTTGACCAACACTGGAGCAGGTTCAGGTACATTCAGGAGCCGGTGCATGCCCAGTACTTGCCAACAGAGACATGACCGATCGCCCAAGCGGCTAACTAGCCGATCAGTGGTGAAGAAGATAAAAGTAAAAGTAAAAAAAGTAAAAATAAATACGGTATCCAACAGGGTGGGTCCGGTGACTTCCAAAGTTATACTTACAACTCGTGATGTCTCGGGAGGGTTCGTATGCTTGTTTTCACCCACCACCATTCAATATGCAACACGGGGTGAGCTTGCATATAGGAATAAAATAAACAGTTAAGTGATTACTACCACATAGTATAAGGAGATAACATGCATATCCCAATACCAATCGTCCGTGGTCTCATATCGTTTCACACAGTGTGTGCACAGATACTTTTTTAGCTACTGTACATTATAATGATAATAAACTTAAGAGGCTGCTGTATTTACCATGTTGTGTATCAGTTTACGGGCGTTGCTCACCCCTCAGTTCCCTGCCGCCTCACATGGCAACTGTCTAGATTTTTGACAATGGTTCTAATTCGATTTTATTTCATGGCAAGTCCTGAGACACTAGTCTGTTATTACAGCAACATCCTATCCAGGAAGTCTATCATTTCATGTTTGAGGAGGTGAGCACACATTTTGTCACCAGTCTGTTAAATACTTTGTTTTATTTATCAAAGTTAGATAATATCTTTATTTTGGAGACAATAAAGCTGTGGTTAGGTTAGGTTAGGTTTATACTGAGCCAGTGATGATTTGTCTGGTGACAAAGTGCCCTAGAACTATTTAAGTGTCCTGTACTGTAGACCCTTTCGATTAGCGAGGGATAGGTTCCAAGAAATGGTGCGAATCGGCAAAACCACAAATAGCAACTTATACTACCTTAGTGCACCACTGTATACCTATACCAATCAAATGACCAGCCGCGGCAGCACTCATCCCCACTTTTAACTTATCTAATAATAAAACTTTCTTTGTTAGGGTCATTACTGACTTCTGCCTTTTACATTTCATTCCACTAGCATCACTAGCACTGACACTAGGCAGTCTTTTAGGGACCACTTCACACAGAAACACTAAAGTTTTGAGACAACAACATGAGATGCTGCCTGGGATGACTCTTTGTGCTGCGGGAAAAGGCTTGCAAGCGAGCCACCATAGCCACCATCTGCTCACTGCAGATCGTCGAATTTGCAAATCACAAACTCGCAAATGGCAAGGGTCTACTGTACTGTACTGTACTATGCTGTGCTGTACTGTACTGTACTGCACTGTACTGTACTGTACTGTACTGCACTGTACTGTACTGTACTGTACTGTACTGTACTGTGCTGTGCTGTACTGTACTATACTGTACTTTACTTTGGGAAGGATAGTCTAGGGTTATATTTTTACTGTACTGTATTACAAGTTAACAATTGAACCTGTATTTTTCATCTCTTTTATGGTACACCCAGGACCCACCTCATAGGGCAACCATTTCAAGATTATTATTATTTTTTCACATGTGATAAATATGTTCATATTTTGTGTACAGTACAGTAATATCATTGGTATTTATAGTATTACATCTTGATATAGGACTGAGATAGTTTATTTGGTCACCAAGTGTGTGATGAGCTATTCAGAGATCACATACAGAGAATTTGTGTATATAAAGGTTTATTTTACAGTGTTAATATTGAGTTTTTAATCAAGTTTACTTCAGTAGGAAATTTTCATTACAGGTGAAAAATCTCATTGGTCGGTGATAATCATCGTACTCAACATGGTCATCCATTACGGCCTCTACCTGTCAATGGCTGTGTTTGGCAAGCCTGAAGAAGAGGTGTCAATAGGTTTACATGAACGCACTGGACCATGTGATGAAAAAACTGATGTGTATACAGCTTTTGGTGGTGTAAGTTCTTTTGTTTTTACTGTACATTTCCAGACTATACTATACAGGTACAGGCACAGTATCAGTTTTAAAAGTTACGTCACTTTAATTCCTTATTCTGAGCTTTACAACTGACTTCCCCATGACTTGTTTTCACAGAGGAAATTGGATTAGTAGTAAAATTTTATTCACAGTCACATTTCACATAAAAGTTCTAATTCTGGTGTTTCTACATTAAACTGGAGGTGTAAGAACACGTCTAAGCTGCTCACTTTAAGATGAATTATCTCTCCTGGAAATATGCAGCTGATAGCTTTGTCAGCTATCCTTGGTCAAGTTGCCTCATTGTTTAATTCAGTTGTTTACCTGCACTGCTTCGGCACACAGGAAATTAATATTGTATCCCCGTCAGCCAGAACAATTGGTGCAGTGTGTTTTCGGGTTTGAGAAATTTCCGGTTGTTGAGGCAAATTCTTTTGTCCCCAGAAAGAATCGCTATATTTATTTATTCAAACACTACCTTAAACAATATATACTACTGTATACAGTATACTATACAGGTTGAAGCTCCCTTATCTGACATTGTAACACAAGGCAACTCCCAAAAACAGCACTACAGGTACTTTTAGAAATTCCTTTACATGACAAACCTCCTAAAGAAGGATGTGGTCAGATGGTAACATGAACGAAAATTTGACTATCTGTACCTAGCAAACCTCCCATCGAGCGAGGGCATCTTGTAGTTTCACCGGCTGGCCACTTATGTTTTGGTGACTCAATATAGGTGCCACTTTAAATCTACAAAGATCTGATGTAAATAAAGATTTACAGATATTTTTACTTTCGTTTGCATCTGATAACATTGCTGGTGACATTGGTGCCAAGTTAGACTTCTCACTGTAGCCACATCTCCCACACCCTCTCACTACCATGGCGAGCAGGTATATCATATAATATTTCTCTCATATCTGTTTTATAATTTTACTTCAGATGGTGTAATTTAATGCAATCAATATAACCTATTGAACCCAGGACTGCAAGGTATAAGTCCCAGGTGATAGCCATTTGCACCTTGTGGTCTGGTGGGGGATATTTATCATATTAGTTGCACTGATGCATAGACACTGTGTATCTGTTGGAATCTTATTTGATGTTTTTCTAATTACTGTACTGTAATTTTCTTTTAAAATTTCATCTTTCAGGTGTTAAAGAGGCAGACATATCTGTGTACCGACGATTACGATGAGAAATATTATGATTTCCATTGTTTACCGGGCGGACAGCGCGTCAGTGATGGAATGGAATGGTACACCATCTGTGGTACGCCGTTCCCCAACCGAGCCGAGTACATATCTGTTATTGTTCTTGTCTGTGTTGTGTCAGCTGTTATTTTCTACAACCTGTTGTTCAGAAGTTCTCGCACACTTCTTTACCAAAAGAAAAAGGAAACGAAGCTAAAATTTAATTGAACATTCTTCTGTAAAAGAGAATGATTTAGTGATAATTTTTTTTTGTATTTTGACTATGGTTGTCACTGGTGCTATACAGAGTGTGATAATATATAATTTATGCTATATCTTCTTCGCAAATAACTGTTTATAGAAATGTTAAATATTTTTGAAGATCACTTAATGCTACAGGGAATATCTTGACAAAAAGTGAACACGATGAAAGTTATACTAATCTGAAATAACATGATATTATCTGATGTGTTTTGGTAAATTAAAGACTTTGTCTTTTTTGCAGAAAATTTTTTTGGGGGAAAAAATCAGTTAAATTTCATTATCCAAAGGTTGAAGACGAAACTTAATAATTTGTTTCTTCTGGAAGCGAATACAGTAGAGTAATGTAACTCTCATATGGGTGTCCGCAGGATTGTGTCCAGGTGGGTGCAAAGAAAGCAAGACAAGACCTGACATACAGTATGTTTATTAAAAAGTATTATAAAGTTTAATCAAGTTACCATACTTTTGAGTACTGTCTGATAAGCATTATCACTTATCAGTGTTATAACTGAAATTATCACAAAATGGTCCACTGCAGGATGTCTTTCCACTGTTGCACATGTACAAGTTACTTTTGTGTAGCTTGTGTGTTTTACATTAAGCCTACCCGCCCTGTAACCCTCCTGCTTAGATATATCTTGTTTTATATACCGTATTCGTTGTTGTTTTTCTGATATGTACTGTGTGTGAAACAAATGGACACACACACACACACATATATATACAGTGACCCCTCGTTTAACGAACGCCTCGGTTAACGAAATTTCGGTTAACGAACTGCCTTCCATAAGGATCTTCAATTCGGTTAACGAACAAAAATTTGGTTAACGAATTTCTTACGAACCGACCTCAACATGTTTTCGCTTGCACTGGCCGGGCAACCAGCTTTAGTATCAGTCTGCCAATACAGTAATCGGTTTTAGGGCTTAAATTCCTTACTATTTTAGTAAATATCAAGAAGTTTATACTATTCAATAATTTTAAAAGTTTAATATTAACTTTTTTTTGTCATTTTAACAATTATTGAGCATAATTGAAGGTAAAGAAACTAGTTTCTGGCATGCCATCCAGCCTGTTAACACACCAGACAGGCATTAGTGTCTCTCTGTTTTCAGTGGAGGTAACATCTTGCTTGAGACTCTCTTCAACTAAACGCTTTTTTTCTGTGTTTCCAAGCAAATTATTGGTCATTTTGAAATATATTTTACATATTGACAATATATAATGCAGTGCAGTGTTGATTTAAAGAAAATAATCTTGAAATACACCAAGAGAACTAAAATTTTATGGGTGAAATGGTGCCATGGGGTGACTTCTTCCACCCCAATGCCTTCTTCTTCCTCCTTCTCCTCCACCCCATTCTAATTCCCATCATCATCATCATCATCATCCAGGAGCCTTCTACATACACACCTCAAAGTAAGTGAACTTTTCACCATTTTTGTTGAATTTAGGAAATTTTCGTGAGTTGGAACCACTACCCAAAAACCCATTGAAACAATGGTTTCAAGACTAACTCAGTTAACAACAACCTTCTGGAACGGATTATTCGTTAACCGAGGGGTCACTGTATATATATATTATATATATATATATATATATATATATATATATATATATATATATATATATATATATATATATATATATATATATATATATATATATATATATATATATATATATATATATATATATATATATATATATATATATATATATATATATATATATATATATATATATATATATATATATATATATTTATATTATATTTATATTTATATATATATATGCTAAATCACTGTAGGTGCTGGTGATTCAGGTATATATGATAAACGGAAGAAAACAAGGTTCAGCGCTGTAATCACATCTTCCTTGTAGAATATATATATATATATATATATATATATATATATATATATATATATATATATATATATATATATATATATATATATATATATATATATATATATATATATATATATATATATATATATATTTACATATATATATATATATATATATATATATATATATATATATATATATATATATATATATACTCATTTTAGTCCATATAACACGCGACTTGAATAACACTAGAATGAACCCCACCTACTGGGTGACTAGACCAGTGCCCAGCGTAACCCCCAGTCCCACCGCAGGCCCAGGTCTCGACCCTGCCGGTGAGCGCTGATTACATATATATATATATATATATATATATATATATATATATATATATATATATATATATATATATATATATATATATATATATATATATATATATATATATATATATATATATATATATATATATATATATATATATATATATATATATATATATATATATATATATATATATATATATATATATATATATATATATATATATATATATATATATATATATATATATATATATATATATATATATATATATATATATATATATATATATATAATGTAGTACCTCGATTTACGCGTCAATTGAACCCACAGAGTATCACAGAAAGTGAACAACAGAGCATATGGGATTAATTCCAATAGAGACTGGCCCAACCTCTAAACTCCACTTTTTCCTACACAATACCTATGTTGTAGTAAAATAACATCTAAATTTTATGATGGTATGCTCACACAATTAATATTTAAGAGAAATACAGTCGCCAGGTTAATGTCCATTCAAATAGGACCAACTCTTTCCAGCTCAGTGGCCCTACCTCTGAGAAATGATTGGGTGAAACACTAGATTTTAACGCTTAGTAATAAATAATACCTCAGACTAAAGTTAGATAATATAATTGACATTTCTGGATTCCTTGCAGGTCAGGGAATATTTTGAATGTAAACGCTATATATTTTGCAATAAAAGATAAAATATTTGCTTTGTGTAAACCAAATTATTACATTAGATCTAAAATTTGTATGTCTAATGCAAAATCCATGATGTTTATATTCAAAATGATCATCTTATTGTAAGAATTCCAGCAATGTAAATTATATTCTGACCGGTAATTTGTATGAATTTTATGAGCTAAAACATATATCTTCATTAAATAAACAAAGAAATATTCTTCAAGGAAACTATCTGTCAATCAAAATACTCGCCCTAGCTGTTGGTCCTCCTACCAGAGAGAAGCTTTGGGAGAAATTAGTAATTTACATTTTACTAATAAATAATAACTCAGACTAAAGTTAGATAATATAATTGACATTTCTGGATTCCTTGCAGGTCAGGGAATATTTTGAATGTAAACTTCATATATTTTGCACAAAAGATAAAAATACTTGCTTTTGTGTAAAACCAAATTATTACATTAGATCTAAAATTTGTATGTTCAATGCAAATCCATGATGTTTATATTCAAAATGATCATCATATTGTAAGAATTCCAGCAATGTAGATTATATTCTGTCCGGGTAATTTGTATGAATTTTATGAGCTAAATAAAAAAAAAAAAAATTATACTTCACGCGAGATATGACTAGATGCACCGTGAAAGTGAAAGTCCGTTCTGGCAAGGTAACGCCAGAATGAGAAATCACGAAAGTGAAACCGACCTCAACAAGTTTTCGCTAACTTGGCTGTCAACCAGCTGTAGTATTAGTCCGCCAATACAGTAATCTGTTTCTAGGGCTTAAATTCCTTACTATTTTAGTAAATATCAAGAAATTTATACTATTCAATAATTTTAAAAGTTTAATATTAAATTTTTTAGTCATTTTAACAATTCAATGGTCAACAGCCAAAATGGTTCACATATGAGATCATGCTCACACAACTAATTTCATATTGCTGAATTCGAATCTGATATTTGTTTTGTTCTATCAGACCAGGTTTTATAAAAAATCAATAGGTACAATTACTTAATATTCCATCACGTGTCGTGCAAAAGATGAGATTATCTCATGTGACTGTGCTTTCATGACTAATTTCATATTAATGAATATTAATTGGATGTTTCATTCTACCATCAGACCTACTTTCTTAAAGAATAAAAAAAATAGTAAATATAGTAACATTATCGCGTCATGCAAGATACAATTTTAAACCTATCACAGATAAGCTCATAAAAAATTGTACCAAAACACATAAGTTCAAATCCTTTATAATGACAAAATGTGAAGTTCTAAAAGTGCTTCTGAACTTTACTCTTTCTCTTGTACAGCTTGCTCTCTTCTCGTTGCAGTGATATGCACTCCATCTTCTAGCAGGTTATGTTGCTTTAGTCTGGATCCCAAAACTTCAGCCTTTTCTTTTGACAAGTTTAGGTCCCTGATGAGATCATGAAGCGCTTCTTGAGTAAATAGTTTAGGCCTGGTATTTTCAGAGTCATCCTGGTAGTCGTTTTCCATTGAGGTAGAGGTAGAATCGGAATCACTCAATTCTTGTTCAGTCGGTGGATTTGGGACTGGAAGTTCAGCACTGTGGTGTACTGGTCGGATTGCAGAAGCAATATTGGGGTACTGTACCTTGCCTCGTGTCTTGATTTTTATTCCCTTAATATTTGTGAGACAGAAGTAGCAGTCACTACTGTGGTCTTTAGGTTCACGCCATATCATTGGTACAGCAAACGGCATTCCTGAACTTCGTTTACCACACATCCACTCGCTCAGGTGGTTAACGCAAGACTTACAGGCTACATGAGGTGCCCATTTCTTGTCTTGGTCACCCAAATGACATTTGAAGTAACTTTTGTAGTTCAGTCGAACAGCTTTTGTGATTGGTTTCTTGAGGCTACCAGGAGTGAAGGCACCACATATGTAGCAAAAACTGTCAGCACCGTTCACACACTTGCGACGTTCCATGTTTTGTTAATTTCAGAGTAATTACAAATCATGCAGGTGTAGATATGCAATATCATGAATCAGCAAACTGAAACAAACAAAAAAGCACAAATCAGGACAAAATAATTGCATAAGTGGAGCCAATGAGCATATAAATTACTGTATGAATAGCATGGTACACTAAATATATAGATATGCTGGTTCTGGAAAACTGAGCCTGATACAGCTATACGAATGTCATAATTGAGTTCAGCACATACAATTACACTAGAATCAGACTGTTTTGATCCAGAACCATGAGAATTTTTTTTTTATGATGACCAGTGAATTATTGAACATACTTGAAGGTAAAGTGACGAGTTTTATGCGCACCATCCAGCCTCTTAACACAGCAAACAAGCGTTAGTCTCTCTTTTTTCAGTGGAGGTAACATCTTGCTTGAGACTCTTCAACTAAATGCTTTTTTTCTGTTTCCAAGCAAATTATTGGTCATTTTGAAATTTATTTTACATATTGACAATATACTGTATAGCGCAGTGCAGTGTTATTTTAAAGAAAATATTCTTTATTTACAGCTAGTTTAACTTTAAAAAACACGTGTTGACATTGTTTGAATCCAGCATGGGGCCTAAGAGATCAAGAAAAGCGATTTCAATCCAAACCAAGCAGGAAATTATAAAAAAACATGAACAAGGCATTAAAACAAATGCGCTATGCAAAGAATATGGCATGTTGACATCAACTGTGTCGACAATTCTTGTACAGAAAGACAAATTTAAAGAAGTGAAAGTGAGAGACAAATCTACCAGAGTATTCAAAAGTAGATCCCTAATTGCAGAAACTGAGAGGTTACTTCTCATCTGGATTAGGGAAAAACAGATGAAAGGTGATTCAGTTTCTACTGAATTCATTTGTGAAAGAGCCAGGGAGATTTACGAACATTTAAAGACAGGTCAACCTGGTTCTTCAGGCACAGAATTTGAAGATTTTCGGGCCAGCAAAGGCTGGTTCGAAAAATTTTAGAAAAGAAGTGACATTCTCAGTGTTGTTAGGCATGGTGAAGCTGCTAGTGCTGATAAGGAAGGGGCAGCAAAGTTTTTAGTGGAATTTAAAGAACTCTTGGAAGAAGAAAATTATCTTCCACAGCAAGAGTTCAATGTGGACGAAACTGGGCTGTTCTGGAAAAAGATGCCCAAAAGAACATTCATCACCAGAGATGAAGCCTCTTTACCTGGGCATAAACCGATGAAAGACCGTCTCACTCTATTGCTTGGTGCCAATGCTTCAGGGGATTTCCGACTGAAGCCTATGCTTGTCTACCACTCTGAAAACCCCAGGGTGTTCAAGCAACAGAAAGTGGTAAGAACAAAGCTTGGAGTTTATTGGAAGTCCAACCGTAAGGCATGGGTGACAAGACAGCTCTTTAATGAATGAGCTGTTGACGTGTTTTGCCCTTCTGTCAAGAGCTACCTAACCACCAATAAACTCCCTTTAAAGGCTCTTCTCCTCATGGATAATGCTCCTGGTCATGACCCTGAATTTGCCAGAACTTTGGAGTATCAATTTGACTTTGTGAAAGTGTTGTTTTTGCCTCCCAACACTACATCAATCATACAGCCAATGGACCAGAATGTGATCAGCAACTTCAAGAAGTTGTACATGAAGAAAATGTTTAGGAGGTGTCATCAGGCAACTTCCAATGATCCTGAACTAACACTGAAACAGTTCTGGAAGACACAATTCAACATCCTGGAGTCTGTAAAATTGATTGTGTCATCATGGCAAGAAGTCTCCACTAGATCCCTCAATTCTTCATGGAAAGCACTGTGGCCATCAGTAGTCCATGATTTTGAGGGATTTGAGGAAGAAACAAAGTTGGACCAGGAGATTGTGTCCATTGGTCAGTCATTGGGTCTTGACGTGGAAGAGGATGATGTCGAAGGGCTTGTGATGTCTCATGAGGAGGAACTTATTCCTGATGACTTGAAGCAACTGGATGAGATGTTAGAGGCTGACAGTGGTGAGGAGGAAATTGAAAGTGATGACCATATGTCAACTAAAGAGTTGAAAAATGTGATTTACCACTGGGAGAAGTTCAGGGAACTGGCATCAAAGCACCTAGATGTGGAAAGAAATGAACTAACTTTGTGTCATGTTGAGGACTCAGTGGTCTCCTTCTTTAAACATAAGTTAATGGTGAGGAGGAGAGATGCCCCACAGACCACAATTGACACTTTCTTCAGTAAAAGGCAGAGGGAACAAGATGCTATCCCTCAGCCTTCCACTTCTAGAAGGAGAGAGGATGTTCATGGTGGAGAATCTGTCAGTCCAGAGGTTCCTGACATTTTCATGGAAGGTGGCTCACCTTCCAAGAAGCAGTAAAATGCTTCTCCTCCACCTCCACTTCCTTCTCTTCAAATTCACATCAGCATCCTCATCCAGGAGCCTTCTATATACACACCTGAAGGTAAGTGTCAATTTCTAAAAAAAAAATTTGAATTTAGGCAATTTTCGGTGAGCTGGAACCAATTACCCAAAAACCCATTGAAACAATGGTTTCGGTTAACGAGCAGCCTGCTGGCACGGATTGTGTTCGTCAACCGAGGGACCACTGTATAATCATAATACGATGTAAAGGTTAGAAAAACAATGTACCTTGCTTAAAAAATAAAGGAAACGGTACTACCATTCCATTCTAATTTTCTATTTCGACCACTGATCATGTACATAATGTGAAGATAGATTGTGGGAAGAAAAACATTTATAATTTTCCAGGGTGGGACAATTGTACTCCCTGGCACCCCCTGCGGACACCCATGCATGTTTGTAAAATGTCATAATATATGGACTAATATTTTACCTCAATTTAGTAGGCCTACTGTTATTTTACAAATATATTTCAGGCTTATACATAAATTATGTACTGTATATTCTCTAGCTAATAAAATGTGCATGATAACTGTTTTTCTTTGCCTAAAAATGGATATAATGGAATAGAAACATATCAACCTAACCAAATCGTAACTTATTCTAATCTAATCTAACCTAACCTAACCTAACCTAACCTAATCTAATCAGACCAATTTATAGTTCTGTACTAGAGTTTTTAATAATCCTGAAATCCATTTAATTTTTTTTTTAATTTGTTAATACAGTGATATCCCCGTAAGCCAGAAAAATTGGTGCAGAGGTCTTCTGGGAATGAGAGATTTACGGGTAATGAGACGACTCTCTCAAAACCGGAAAAAATCCATCATCCCCGGAATTTCCGAGTAACGGAAAAATGTTCTCAATTTCCGCAAAATTTGCCTCATTTTCATTTCTCAAACCCGGAAAAAAGATCCGTCCCTGGAATTTTCCAGGTATTGGGAATTTTTTTCCTGAATTTTCCGGAAAATGTGCCCCTCGGAAAATCATTCCCAAAGCCAGAATTTTCTGGAAAATTCTGGCTTTGGGAACGATTTTCTGAGAAAATTTCAATTCCAGCTATCGGAGAGTTCCGGGTTTGAGGGATTCCGGCTAACGGATATATTACTGATAATCTATAATGTAAAATTAATTTTGCAAATTTTTTTAAAATTTCGATTATGTGAATTTGTTTTTTTAATTTCTGTAGCTAAGGTTAATTTATTTTATTGAATATTATTAAAAGAGCCAACATAATACATGGCTGCCAGATGTGTGATGGAATGTAATAAGAGTTCTGTGTTCTCATCAATTTATTGGAACATTTTGAACAGTCAAGGCCTTAGTTGAGCAAACCTTCTACAGTGAACCAGTTATAATACTGGTGCAGATTATGGTAATGATGGTATAGGTAATGGTGATGATGGTGCAGGGAATGGTGATGATGGTGCAGGTAATGGTGATGATGGGATAGGGAATGGTGATGATGGTGCAGGTAATGGTGATGATGGTGCAGGTAATGGTGATGATGGTGCAGGTAATGGTGATGATGGTGCAGGTAATTGTAATGATGGGATAGGGAATGGTGATGATGGTGCAGGTAATGGTGATGATACCCCCTGGGCTCTCCCAGAGGCGTCAGCTCTCTTAGGGCCTTCCCTAGAGCGGTGGCACTCCCAGGGTCCCTCTAAGGGCGACAGCGCCCCCGGGGCCCCTCACAGGGGAATTGGTGTCCCATGGGGCCCTCCTAGGGGCATCGGCGCCCCCAGGGGCCATACTAGGGGCGCCGGGGCCATTCCCACGGGCAGTGAGAGCCCTGACAGGAGCAGTGGGGCCCTGACAGAGGCAGGAGAGACCATTCCAGGACCGGCGGTGCCCCCAGGGGCCTTCCCAGAAGCAGTGTCGTCCCGGGCCTCCCATGGGCGGCGGAGTTTCCCGGGGCCCTGCTAAGAGCGGCGTGGGCCTTCCCAGTGGCATCGGGGGACCTTCCATGGACGGTGTCGCCCCCAGGAGCTTGATTGTGGTGTCGTAAAAATTGCATTCGTCCAGTAATCCTGTACCTAACTGTGATTGGCGGACTAAAATGTAAATCCACCAAATTACAGCCAATAGGAGAACAGAGAAGTCAGTCAGCACAACACCCCAACTTATGTTTTCCTGTTGGATATTTATTCTCCTTTACACTATTCAGGATGCGATGATACTGGAAATGCGATGGACTGCGTAATTTTTTAACGTCATATCTCCTACAGCTCTAAACTGTGCTAAAACAACTGCTCCCAGGGGCATTGGCACACCCAGGGGTTCTCCTTAGGGGCAGCGGCGCCCCCAGGAACACTCCCAACGGCGGTGGCGCCCCCAAGAGGTCTCGCAGTGACATCACCAGGGTACCTCCCAAGGGCTGCGGCGCTCTATGGGCTGTCCCAAGGGCGGTGGCGATCCAAGGAGCCTTGTCAGTTGCGGCAGTGGTCCCAGGAGCCCTTCCAAGGGTGGCGTCGCCCCCAAGGGCCATCCCAGGGACGGAGGCTCCCCCAGGGGCTCTTCCAAAAGCAGGGGAGCCTCCAGAGGCCCTTGCAGGGGCTGAGACGCCCCCCAGCAGCGGCTCCCCCACTGGCCTTCCAGGGTCGGCGAAGCTCCTAGGGGCCCTCCCACTGTCGGCGTCGCCACAAGGGGTTCTCCCAGGGCTGGCGGTGTTCCCAGGGGAGTTCCCTGGGGCGTTGGCGCTCTCAGGGGCACTCCCAAAGGCGGAAGTTCCCCCAGGGGCTCTCCCAGATGAGGAAGTGCCCCTTGGGGACCTCACTAGGACTGCTGCATACCCCGGAGCCAACCCAGGAGAATCGGCACCCCCACAGGCGGCAGGGGCCCTGACAAGGGTAGCGGTGCCCCAAAGGGCCGTCCCAGGGGCATCAGAGGACCTCCAAGGAGTGGCGGTGCCCCCAGGGACAGTTGCATCTCAGGGGCCTTCCTAGAAGTGGTGACGTCCCCAAGGGCGGCGGAGGCCCCCGGGGCCTTCCTAGGAGCGGCATAGGTTCTTTCCAGTGGCGGCGGGGTCCTGCCAGGGGCTTGTTTGTGGTGTCGTAAATATTGCATTCGTCCAGTAATCCTGTACTTTACTGTGATTGGTGGACTAAAATGTAAATCCACCAAATTACAGCCAATAAGAGAACAGAGCAGTCAGTCAGCACAACACCCCAACTTATGTTTTCCTGTTGGATATTTGTTCTCCTTTACATTGTTCAGGATGCGATGATACTGGAAATGCGATGGGCTGTGTATTTATTTAAAGTCATATCTCCCAGAATTTTGTATAGTGCAAAAACAACTGCCCCCCCAGGGGCCCTCCTTAGTGGTGGCGGCGACCCCATGGGCCCTATCTAGGATAGTGGCGCCCCTAGAGGCCCTCTCTGCGGTGGTGGTGCCGGCTAGGGGCCCTTCCAGTGGCGGTGGCGCTTCCAGTGGCGATGGCGCATTCAGGGGAGGTGGCGCAAGCCCAGGGGTACTCCCAGGGCCGGCAAAGCTCCCAGGGGCCCTGCCAGGGGCTACAGTGATCGCAGGGGCCTTCTCAGGAGTGACAGAGACCCCAGGGGCCCTGTCAGGGGCGATTATGACCCCAGCAGCTCTCCCAGGGAGGTAACGCTGCCAGGGGCCCTTCCAAAGGTGGCTGCGCCCCAAGATCCCTCCCAGAAACGGCGGCGTCCTCATGGACGCTCCATTAGGTGTCGGAGCACCCATTGGCCCACCCCTGGGCGGCAGAGCCTCCAGGGCCCCTCACAGGCGCGGCAGAACCACCAGGACTCCTCCGTAGGGGTGACAGCGCCCCTAGAGTCCTTCTTAGGGGCAGCTGCGCCCACAAATAACCTCCCTTGGGCAGTGGCGACCCCAGGGGCCCTGTCAATGGTTGCGGCGCTCCCAGGGGCCCACCCAGGAGCGGCAAAACCCACCAGGACCCCTTTCAGGGGCGGCGAAGACCCCAGAGGCCCTGACAGGAGGTGTGACGCCCTCAGGGTCCTATTCCAGGGGCTGTGGCGCCATCAGCTACCCTCCCAGGGGTTGCGGCACCCCCAGAGGCCTACCCAAATGCGGCGCCACACCCACTGGGGTCCTCCTCGGGGCAGCAGGAGTACTTCAAGAGTCGGTGGCAATTCAGGGACCCTCCCAGGGGCGGCATCACCCCCATGGGCCCTCCTTAGAGGTGGTAGTCCTCTAGGGGCCCTCTCAGGAGGAGTGTCGAATCAAAGGGTTCTCCCAGGGGTGGCAGCGCCTCTAGGGGCCTTCCCTGGGGCGGTGGCGCTCCCAGGGTCCACCTAAGGGCGGTAGCACCCCCGGGGACCCTCACAGGGGAATCGGCATCCCAAGGGGCACTCCTAGGGGCATCGGCGCCCTCATGGGCCATCCTAGGGGCGCTAGGGTCTCTCCCATGGGCAATGGGGGCCCTGACAGGAGCAGGAGGGGCCCTCACAGGGGCAGGAGAGACCCTTCCAGGGCCGGCGATGCCCCCAGGGGTCTTCCCAGAAGCAGTGTCGTCCCGGGCTTCCCAAGGGCGGCGAAGGTTTCCGGGGCCTTCCCAGTGGCGGCGGGGGCCCTTCCATGGACGGCGGCACCAGGGGCTTGATTGTGGTGTCGTACATATTAGATTCGTCCAGTAATCCTGTACTTAACTGTAATTGGTGGACTAAAATGTAATTCACCAAATTACAGCCAATAGGAGAACAGAGCAGTCAGTCAGCACAACACCCCATCTTCTGTTTTTCTGTTGGATATTTCGTCTTCTTTGCATTATTCAGGAAGCGATGATACTGAAAATGCGATGGACTGCGTATTTTTTTAACGTCATATCTCCAAGAGTTCTAAATTGTGCAAAAACAACACCCAGGGGCGTTGGCGCACCTAGGGGCTCTCCTTAGTGGCAGCAGCACCCCCAGGGGCACGCCCAACGGCGGTGGCGCCCCCAAGAGGTCTCGCAGGAGCAGTGACACCACCGGGGTACCTCCCAGGGGCTGCGGTACTCTATGGGCCGTCCCAAAGGCGGTGGCGAACCAAAGAGCCTTGCCAGATGCGGCGGCGGTCCCAGGGGCCCTTCCAAGGGTGACATCGCCCCCAAGGGCCATCCCAGGGACGGAGGCTCCCCCAGGGGCTCTTCCAAATGCAGGGAGCCTCCAGAGGCCCTTCCAGGGGCTGCGGCGCCCCCCGGAGATCTCCCAGAGGCAGCGGCTTTCCCACGGGCCTCCCAGGGTCGGCGATGCCCACTGGGGCCCTGCTATTGGTGATAGCGCCCCCAGGTGCCCTCCGACTGTCAGCGTCGCCACAAGGGGTTCTCCCAGGGCTGGCGGTGCTCCCAGGGGAGTTCCCTGGGGCGGTGGCTCTCTCAGGGGCCCTCCCAAAGGCAGAAGTTCCCTCAGGGGCTTTCCCACATGCCCAGGCGCCCCTTGAAGACCACACAGGGGCTGCTGCATCCCCAGGAGCCAACCCAGGAGAATCGGTGCCCCCAGGTGGGGCAGGGGCCCAGACAAGGGCAGCGGTGCCCCAAAGGGCCGTCCCAGGGGCATCAGAGGCCCTCCCAGGAGCGGCGGCGCTCCCAGGGTCTTCCCAGGGGCAGTTGCATCTTAGGGGCCTTTCTAGAAGCGGTGACGTCCTTAAGGGGTTTTCCAAGGGCGGCGGAGCCCCCTGAGGCCATCCTAGGAGCAGCGTGGGTTTTCCCGGTGGCGGCGGTCCTGCCAGGGACTGCGTCGCCCCCAGGGGCTTGTTTGTGGTGTCGTAAATATTGCATTTGTCCAGTAATCGTTTACTTTACTGTAATTGGTGGACTAATAAAATCTACCAAATTACAGCCAATAGGAGAACAGAGTAGTTAGTCAGCACAACACCCCTTCTTATGTTTTCCTCTTGGATATTTATTCTCCTTTACATTATTAAGTTTGCGATGATACTGGAAATGCTGTGTGTATTTATTTAAAATCATATCTCCCAGAATTTTGTATAGTGCAAAAACAACTGCCCCCCCAGGGGCCCTCGTTAGTGGTGGTGGCGACCCCATGGGCCCTGCCAAGGAAGGTGGCGCCCCTAGAGGCCCTCTCTGCGGCGGTGGTGCCGCCTAGGGGCCCTTCCAGTGGCGGTGGCGCTTCCAGTGGCGATGGCGCATTCAGGGAAGGTGGCGCAAGCCCAGGGTTACTCCCAGGGCCGGCAAAGCTCTCAGGGGCCCTGCCAGGGACTACGGTGCTCGCAGGGGCCTTCTCAGGAGTGACAGAGACCCCAGGGGCCCTGTCAGGGGCGGTTATGCCCCAGGAGCTCTCCCAGGGAGATAACGCTGCCAGGGGCCCTTCCAAAGGTTGCTGCGCCCCAATATCCCTCCCAGAAACGGCGGCGCCCCCATGGACGCTCCATAAGGTGTCAGAGAATCCAGACGCCCACCCCCGGGCGGCAGAACCCCAGGGGCCCTCCCAGGGGCGGCAGAACCCCCAGGACTCCTCCCTAGGCGTGACAGCGCCCCTAGAGTCCTTCTTAGGGGCAGCTGCGCCCCCAAAGAACCTCCTTTGGGCAGTGGCGACCCCAGGGGCCCTGTCAATGGTTGCAGCGCTCCCAGGGGCCCACCCAGGGGCGGTGAAACCCACCAGGAACCCTTTCAGGGGGGGCGAAGACCCCAGAGGCCCTGACAGGAGGTGTGGCGCCCTCAGGGTCCTTTTCCAGGGGCTGTGGCGCCATCATCGACACTCCCAGGGGTTGCGGCACCCCCAGAGGCCTACCCAAATGCGGCGCCACACCCACTGGGGTCCTCCTCGGGGCAGCAGGAGTACTTCAAGAGTCGGTGGCAATTCAGGGACCCTCCCAGGGGCAGCATCACCCCCATGGGCCCTCCTTAGAGGTGTTAGTTCTCCAGAGGCCTTCTCAGGGGGAGTGTCGAATCAAGGGGATTTCCCAGGGGCGGCAGCTCTCCTAGGGGCCTTTCCTGGGGCGGTGGCGCTCCCAGGGTCCACCTAATGGCGGCAGCACCCTCGGGGCCCTCACAGGGGAACGGCGTCCAAAGGGGCCCTCGGAGGGGCATCGGCGCCCCCAGGGGCCATCCTAGGGGCGCTGGAGTCTCTCCCATGCGCAGTGGGGCCCTGACAGGAGCAGTAGGGGCCCTGACAGAGGCAGGAGAGACCCTTCCAAGGCCGGCGATGCCCCCAGGGGCCTTCCTAGAAGCAGTGTCGTCCCGGGCTTCCGAAGGGCGGCGGAGGTTCCCGGGGCCTTCCCAGTGGCGGCGGGGGCCCTTCCATGGACGGCGGCACCAGGGGCTTGATTGTGGTGTCGTAAATATTGCATTCGTCCAGTAATCCCGTACTTAACTGTGATTGGTGGACTATAATGTAAATCCACGAAATTACAGCCAATAGGAGATCAGAGAAGTCAGTCAGCACAACACCCCATCTTATGTTTTCCTGTTGGATATTTATTCTCCTTTACATTATTCAGGGTGCGATGATACTGGAAATGCGATGGACTGCGTATTTTTTTAACGTCATATCTCCTAGAGCTCTAAACTGTGCTAAAACAACTGCCCCCAGGGGACATCCCAGGGGCATTGGCGCACCCAGCGGCTCTCCTTAGGGGCAGCAGCGCCCCCAGGGGCACTCCCAACGGCGGTGGCGCCCCAAGAGGTCTCGAAGAAGCAGTGGCACTACCGGGGTACCTCCCAGGGGCTGCGGTACTCTATGGGCCGTCCCAAGGGCGGTGGCGATCCAAGGAGCCTTGCCAGTTGCGGCGGCGGTCCCAGGGGCCCTTCCAAGGGTGACGTCGCCCCCAAGGGCCATTCCAGGGGCTCTTCCAAAACCAGGGGAGCCTCCAGAGGCCCTTCCAGGGGAATATGTCAACCTGTCGTTTGTATCATGAGTTCTGAGTGGCTGGTCAACACAGCTGAATCTGTATCGAGAGTTCTGAGTGACTGGGCACCACAAAGGAAGCGCTGAATCTGTATCGAGAGTTCTGAGTGGCTGGGCACCACAAACGAAGCGCTGAATCAGGAGTCGAGCTTGGAGCCACATTTCTCTGAACCATCTGTGATTTTTGTTGATCAGCTGAATAAAAAACGTTTCTCATTATTTCCTGCAGAAGCAACTCAGTTTTTCTGTTAGTGAGCATTTACATGTAATATCCGGTCCATAAAATTACAAGAGCGTCGGTTAGATCGAAGTTTCGATCGGGTGGTTCAGTGTCTGGGAGTCGAGCTCTCAGTTGTCACTTTGGAAGGCATCAGTACTGTCTTATGGTGTCAAATTAAGCAAAACAAATATGGCCACGCCAGCCATCCGATTAAGTGTTATTACTAAGGTTCACATGTGACGCTTTATATCATGTGCTTCAAGACCACAAGAGCGTATGTTCGTACTGGAGATGGTTCAGTGTGTGGTGGAGATGTGGATGAACTTTAGACCAGGGACAGCCAGTCGTGGAGGGAGGGAGCCGGCCAGTAGTGAGACGGTCGAGGCGATTAGTGGATGTGTGATGGAAGTTAACGTCTACAAAATGCTCCTAAATTAATACATCCAGTTGTCAAGGATTATAAAATACAGACGCCATCATGTGTGTGTTGATGTTGAAAAATATATGGTATGTCGCTGTGTGTATTTCCCTTACAACTTATTTCTCTCTCCAATCTACGTCAATTCGATGGCCCATTAATTGTATAGAAATGTTGATGACTGGGACTTAATTATACTGAATGATCTTGACAGCTTCACTGGGGTAGAAATCCATTTCAACGTGATTTGGTTGTAGGAGTTTAAGGTTAGGTACCAGAACAAGGCGACCACCCACGGTGATTAACCCGACCTTCTCCCCTAGACCATTATCCGGTTTAGCATTTATACGGAGTCCTTTAACACGGCTTTAGAGGATTATGAACATTAGATTAACACCTAATCGTGTCCATGATCAAACCTTGTAAGTGGTTGTTCCCAGTCGGCGTAATAGAGATGTCTCAACTGTGTACATTATGCCTTCAGTCTTCATTGGTGTATTCATAAGTGTTCTAAGTGGTCTATGATTGTCGGGAGCAAAATGTAAACAGCACTTTTAGGCTAAAACGTATGTAACAATATAAGCAACTAACCACTCAGCGCAGCCAAACTCAGCTCGACATTAGCCATCACGTGAAGATTAGGCACTCAATCAGATTTTACTTGTTATACACAGAAGTGCCACTTGTGGTGGTGGTGGGGGGTGTGATAGGGTAGTTAATCTTCAGGTGATATAAGATGGGCTGCTGCCATATCTTCGTGATTTCATAATTTTATCTTGTTTAAACTAAACACGATTTCTATGAGCGTTTTAAATCCCAGTGTAAGAGGCGTTGTTACCGTGTTCACCTGACAGTCAAATATTGTAGCCAGGAACAATCAAATCCATCTTGAGCACTGCCGGTCATCAGAGTGAACGATGGTGGGGGAAGTCTAAAGTGGTGAGAAGTGAAAAGGTTCGTGATGGTGGGGAAGCACTGGGGTAAGTAGAAGTACAGTGATGGTGAGGAAGTGTTTATAGTGGTAAGTGTGAAGAAGTCGCGTAGGTAAAATTTGCCAACCTCCAATCAACACAGTGTGTGGCGTGATAGATGACAAAGCAGAATAATATACTTTTGTGCTTTTAAATTATTACATAGCCGCGAAGGCAATGGTCAAATAAATAGTTTACTTTGAATTATCACCAGTATTTACTGTTGGGATAAAAAATATTTGTGACCTTTCGCAAGATATTCATTGAGACAGAAAATGAAGAAGAGAACAAAGAATATCACTATCAGAAAAGAGGATGTGGTTAAGAAGATAACAAATTCAAAGAAGACAAATCCCCAGGGCCGATGAAATGAGTTTTGAAAGAGTGTAAGGAACAGATTATGGGACCCTCGTAACGATGACAAAACGATAGACACGGGAGTTGTGCCAGACTCTAGGAAACAGGCAAAATGTAGCAACCATATTCCGCAAGGAGACAGATCATCAGCGTCAAATCACTGGCCGATTAGTTGACGTCAGTAGTGGTACCCCTGAATCAATTATAGCAACAAATATCCATCCAGGATTACGAGAAAAACAACCAATCTACGATTCTCAACAAGGGTTTACAAAGGAAAATTTGTCTAAAATCAGCTGACGCTAGAAAAAGTTCTCGAGGGGCAGATGTATGACGAGAAAACATGATGTTATTTACCAGACTTAAAGCTTGACAGAGTACCGCATCAGAGGCTTCTGAGAAAAGTTAAGGCCTGGGCGGTAAGGAGGGAAAGTTTTAAATTGATGGTAAATCAAGTGGCTTACCGATAGAACACAGAGGACAGCGTAGATGGTGTTAAATTCTGAGTGGCTGTAACTTGTGTGGGCTCCCCAGGGTCAGCATTGGGCCTCCACTCTTGTTCGCACCCACATAAACGACCTAGATACTGGGATCAGCAGTGACATAAGTAAGTTTGCGGATGACACCAAAATAGGGCGCAGATTAATTCAGGGAAGCGATGCAAATGCCCTGGCTACACATTTAAATAAACTGCAGGAGGGTCTGTAAAAATGGCAAATGAAAT